TGGGTTCTATAGGCAATTTTCCAAATACTGGGAATTCATGACACATAGGAGCCAGGACACAGAGTTAACTTTGGTACGTGCTCCAAATTAACAGCAAAAAGCAATTCAGTAGTTTCTGAGATTCCTAAGATTTTCAAAACCTTACTCACCAGAACTCTTTTTTTTTCCTGGCTAACAGGGTCATTGGAAATTTTACCTGAATCTTAAAGGTTTTGAGATGCAACAGCATCTATTCTGGCACAGTATAAAATGGCTGAGGCTGGAGTAGTAGGCTTCTGTCACTGGGATTTTATGAGCTGGCATCCAAAAACGTGACCTATTAATGGCTATTAGTTTGGACCATGAGAAAAGAAAATGACAAAGATTTCTTGGTCTGTTCTCCAAAATGATAGAAAGAAATTTACATTTCTCAGACTATGTCTACTGACACAGAATTGCTGAATTTCAAACACTCTTCAGGGAAAACTGAGGATATCTGTCGCAGACATCTTTTCACTAAAAATCCTTTCTTTAGGATTTTTCCTTCTGAGAAGCTAAGAGGCCGCAGAGACAGAATGTTAACATGGTTATCTGCTGCTGTGTAATACAACAGGTCCACCTGTGATTGGCCCATCTTGGATGTTTATAATTAATGGCCAATCAAGGACCGGGCTATCTCAGACAGAGTCTGAGAGAGCTGCCCTTGTTATCATTCTTTTCTTTTCTATTCTTAGCTTAGCTAGCTTCGGAGGAAACCTTTTCCTTTCCCATTTCTTTTTAGTATAGTTATAATGTAATATATATATATCATAAAATAATAAATCAAGCCTTCTGAACATGGAGTCAACATTCTCATATCTTCCCTCATCCAAGAACCCCTGTGAACACGGTCACAGATATCCTCTGTTTTTCATCTTAATGATTCTGATCAAGTGAAAATATGTTGTAATGGAAAATAATGTGAAGAAACTTTCACTAGAGAAAGACATTCTATTCCTTTACCCCAGGAAGAATAACAATACCCTGAACATGAATAAATCTTAAGGACCATAGGTAATACTGAACTAGATAGGTGAAGCTTTGCAATAAATATTCACTTCCAATATCAAATCAAGCTGAACCATAACCAAGAAGTGTGATTTTACTACCACTGAAAGTGAAAGAGTAGGTGAAGGGGATGGACAAAGTGTGCCAAGACAACTGGCTTGCTAGATCTGTAAGTCAATCTACTTTGAATACTTCTGCTCCCTATCCCACGTCTTTGAAAATCCCCAGGAGATGCAACATTCACTGAGCCCTTGAGGAATGTCTGCCCTTTCTGAGAATGCTCAGAAACTGAGAAAAGAAGGGCAGAAGGGTAAGAGCAAGCAGGGAAAAGCAGTAAGTAGCTCTATTACCCCACTGTGCTAGAGTCAGAATCAAAATCTATCTTTTAAGGTCTTTCACTCAATTTTTTTTAAACTGAATGAACAAAATCCAGTATCTCTGAAGTGTCAGCCCTCAGTCTTTCTAACTAAAGCATGATTTCACTGATGATAGCTCATTTTATCTCCCACTTTTTAAAGCAGAATCCAATTGCGCTGTCTAAATTGTGGTATCAGCCATTTGTGACTAAAACTTCATCAGCACTTTAATCTGTATGACTCTTTATTGTTACAAGGCTCAAATCACACCCATTGCATGAAATTATATTATCTCTGAACTGTGAAGTGCTAAGTTCTGCTTCTGATAAACACAATGAATTATAATCCAATTCTGTGAAAATCACACATCGCATTACAGTTCTTGCTGTGAGGAAGTGATTCTGGTTTTCATTAATTTCACTGAAAAGTAATTTAGACCAACCAACCAAAACTAGAAATGGATTTTTTCCCCCCTGATTTTCATTGAAAAGCTCCCATGGCCAAGGTCCAGCAAACTCTTAATGATCAGATACATACAGAGTAGTAAATTTGGTAAGCACTCCCCCATGACTAGACAGGATGTTGCTGTTAAGAGAACTGTGATTCAGCATCAAAGCAGTCCTCAATGAGAGAACGGTTATTACATATTTTGTAATGTTTTCTAAAAGTTAATGGTGATATAAAAGGTATAATCTTTGTCTTCTAGGAAGTTTTGATACAAACATTTACTAGGTCTAAGGACATTAATGAGAATCATGTATAATTATGCAAGACCATAAGCTATTTGGGTTACAGGAATAAATTGTACAGAGGAATCTCTGGACCGGAAGAATGGTTAGATGAACAAATAAATGTGTCTTTCAACTTTTATTTAGTGTCATGGAAACAACTCTGTGCCAGGAAGTCATATGATCTTCTAAAAAGCTTTCAAACATGGATATAAGCACAAAGTCCATGAAACTAATGACAATGTATTTCTGACAGCTTGACCACATCAAGCTTTCCTGGATGTTATGCTGCGCAAGAATGCTTGTTTCTACAGTGCCTTTCTATTGACAGGCAGATGAATCTGGTTTTAGGTGCTGAGATGAGTTAATATTATTCTTATTTCAATAACAAGTAAACAAACTACACAGGAGACTTGTTAGACTCTTAATTTCTTTTTTAATCAATAAAGCACATGGAATACTTTTACAGGAAAAAGAAAATGCTGTGCAGAATGTTGTGGTTTTCTTAAAAAGTATGTAAATCCCCGTTTATTCCTGTTAAGTGGTATAGTTAAGAGCAGTAGATTCTGATTATCCTATCTGCTTTTATTTTTGAATGGGTCATCATCTATACAACAGGCAATTGAAGAAATTAACCAATTAGGTTATGCAGAATTCATTAGATGAATATGACCCTAACTCCAGCCTTTTGGTGTCAGGTGAGATGAAAACCCTTGGATTCAGTTTAGGGTGGATTCCCCTGACTCAAGCTCTGAAGAAGAGGAACACTATGCTCAAAATGATTCAGCACAGGATATGTACTAAAGGGCTCAGGTAAGGGGTCAGGGTATGTGGGTTGTGTCGGTAGTAATGGCTCATAGTAATGACTTAGAGTGAAACCAGACAAGCAAAGGAACTGCCCACAAGCAGCTGCTCAAGACTGCTCCAATGGAGATGCTGTTTCCTAAGGCTTCTAAAAGCATGTATGGGATCAGCAACCTCTAGAACAACCTGATATTGAGGCAGGAGTGCAGAGAATCCCTGCCCTATAGAAAAGTAACTTGTCCATTTCCATTAATTTACCTACTTCAGTGCTGAAGTTAGGAACTGAGCTGGGTGGGCCAGAATCCTTTAGTTGCCCAATTTCTATTTACACACCCAATTTATTATTAATTTTTACACAAATTTGCTTCAATAAAAAATATTTATCTTCACAGTTATTAGAATCACATTACAACCCTATTGTGTCTCTTTTTAGGAATAAAACTGGTTACATGCTGTAAAATTAGGTTCTGGTAACTTTAGTGCCTGCCAAATTTAAGTGAGATGTTCCTGATGCTTGCAATATTGCTTTCAGTAGGTTTTTCTGTTGTATATCATGAAAAGCAGTAAAATACTGCTCTTCCAGTGCTGTGTGGAAAGGCTAGTATGGATAAAAATAACAAGTTTACTAATGGCTAAGAATAGTGTAAGAATAATGTGCTATAGTGCTATCCCCTTGACATACTTGTATGTATGTATGTATACTTATCTTTTAAATAGATATTATAATTTTAAACATAACAGGACAAATGTGCAAAAAAAGAGAAAGCATCATGAAGGAGGAAAGCAGTGTGGTTATACAAAGCTTATTACTGTTTTTACAGTGCAAAGAAAGTCTAAAATGAAACACTGATCTTAAACATACACTACATTGATAAATACTATTGATTTATTGTTGCATAGTCTTCATCTAGGGAAATAGACTGTTCTTTTGACTTACATATTTTTCAGTTAGGCTGATGCTTTAAAATAAGATATGAAATGTCATGGGAAAAATGAAAAGCTCTGGTTAACAGCTTATCATAACTAAATAGTGAAAGACTTAAAAGTATGCTGCCTAAGAATTACGTGTGTCTTACACAACTTGTGAGTAATTTTATGAAGCCAGGAAAAATGACCTCATTGTTAACAAACTGAATGAATAATAATAAATACAAGTATTTCCTCATCTACCATAGATTTCCTACATGTGCTTAGGTGAGTCACAATTCCTTCAAAATTCTGTTCCTTTACAAACTTATTAGAGATTAACACTGCTATGCCTTTTCAGAGATACTGTGAGAAAAAAAAATTACAATTCCAACATGTTCAAATGCTGTGGTGGCAAGTGCTATTTAATTCTTTCAAACAAATGGGCAAAATAATACATTTTTCTAAAGCAAAACCTACATCTTACATGGAACTGAAATCACTGCTGTATTAATTTATCTTCACAGTTCAACAACTAGATTTTTGGTTTCTTTCACAATGAATGAAGCAGGGTTTCTATCTACAATTCCTCTATGTCACTTTTTTGCTTCCATTCATGTGTTCTGTGCTCAGAGCCCCTGCAGGCAGGGGGCCCTTCCAGCTGTCCAGATGAGCACAGCAGCCACGTCCCACTGCCTCAGCAGATCTCCCAGGCTCTGCAAAGCACAACCACCCACAGTGTTCCCACAGAGGGCTCTGCCCTCTCCTCTGACTCATTCTGCTACCTTCAGCAGACTGCTGCTCTGAAATAACCACCTTTCCCACAGACACCAGGAGAAACTGCCAACACTTTCAAACTCAATCCCACTTGTTGCATTCACATAAGCCAGCCTTTCTCAATAGCCACTTTATCTAACTTAGGAACTAAATAAAAGGTACTGAAAAGGGACAGCACCTTTCAAGCAATGAAACACCTTCTGGCACACTTTGAGTGTTTTACTTGTCAGCATGCTCACCCCAATCTATATTCTCTTCTTGAAAAACAAGTGTTTATAAAAATTTTTACTCTTTTTTAAGCTATTAATATGAAGACAGTGATAAGCAAAAACCTTTTGGAAAACTGATTTTTTTTTTTTCCTCAGTGCTATTTGTCCCAAGAGGAGGAACAAATTTTCCTGGCTTCCTTAGCAAGGCAAAGCTTTTCTGCCAACAAGTATGTCTTACAGATCTTAGAACACCTCCTCAGCATTTTCTGATCTACTGGCAATCAATACTGAGTCATGCTGAGGCAGCATTACACTTTGCCAGCATGCATCCTTTTTCTCCTGTTAATTTCATGTGGCTCCAAGAAACACAGGAAGCGCTCAAGGTCATGGCACAGCCATGAGCCTAAAGGAGAGATCCTCATGGGAGGAAGACAAGTGCATGAAAGAAAGGAAGAAACTGAATTATCTAAATAGTAAGAAAAAATTTCTTAAAGAAACCTTTTGCTATCTACATTTCAGTGTATTCTCATATAAACTTTTAATCTTTGACACAAAATAAACATAATTTTTAAGTGCTTATTTAGTATGCAAATTCTTCATCACTTCTTAAATTCCTAAGTAATAAAGATGAGCTGTGACCTATAATACTAGAAGAAGCTTGCCAGTGCTGAATTTCCTATCTGTGCTCTTTTGATAATTTTCATTTTGTACACTTTAAATTCATTGGATTAAATAGCTACACAAGAAATTTACAGTGACAGTTTATGAAGCACCCTGCTGGCTACTCCAAGATATACAGCAAGAGTCAAACTTTCAGGGTGCCTCTAAACATTTTCTGCATAAATATGGACATTTCAATTTGCAGATAAAATTATGCCCCTGCTTATTTGAGTACAGTGTGCAATCAGATGGGCTTGAATGATTTGCGTGTTTTTAGGCCTGCCAAAAATATATTTCAAGTTTAAACAGTTATGTGGTTTAATGGATCAACCCTTTATGGTCCTTAACCATAAGAGTCTCTTTCTTGGAGTATCCTTCATTCAGCTGGACGTGCTAAAATGAGCAGAAAGAGAAATCCATGGTATTTCAGTAATTTTCACCCAATATTCTGGAGGTGTTTCTGTCTTCTGAGCTGCCATTGCATCAGCAATCACAGAGTATTTGGTGCATTCTCAAAGTTTACATGTTCTGCCTTGTGAATTGAGAATCTGCTTCCACAGAAGTGACATTAGGAGGGAATTTTGAAAATTATGCATTTTCCTTTTGAAAATCATAAGGTGATAAAAAAGACTGGGATTGCCACATACAAGCTGACCTGTTGTGTAATTTGGAATGAAAAATGTTTCAACATACATAGGTATATAAAAATATGATTACAAACTTTCCATATTCAAAAACGTTAGAATCTTTGAACTCAGTTATTCTCCAAAAATGACCAACACTTAAAGGTATATTCTTGAAGATCACAAAATGCTGCAAGGTTGTTAATTCTTTTTTTTGCATAATTTCTTTGCATGTGTGTTTGATTTTCTTCTTGTTTTTCCGCTTCTTGTTTTTTTTTCATGCACCAGCATTTGGAAAGCATTGTAACCACTGCATATAAGTTCATAATTTTACAGTAACATTTTGATGGCAGACCTGAGCAAAATTTTCTCTTTTTTATTTTCTTTTTTTTTTATTTCTCCATTTTCTTCTTTAATGGCCTTTTGAAAAATCCAGCCTGCAAAAAAGAAAAAAAGTTACTAAGAACTTCTCAAACCATATAAGCCATACTGCTTACATTCATGTGTTGGTTCTTACTACTATTTTAATACTTGCACTGCTATACAAAGTTAATGAATATTTTATCATGTCACTGTTTTTCCTGGAATAGAAAAACTAAGTACCATTAATATATAGTAGAGTGCTGAATCATTGCTTTGCTCACATATTGTCAAGGATTAAAGTGCTTAATCATAATCAGATAATCAGTTGAATAAATAATATTTTATTTTATAATGTAAAAATTTTCAAGAGATTATGCATGTTGAAATTTTTAAGCTGTAATCTTCTAACTTAACTATGAACAAAATATTTAGCTTGGAGAAGAGTGCCCACTTGTGGCAAGACTTACACCACAGGGCCTAGCATCTCTTGCACAACAGAAAAAAACCTAGTTGACAAAGGTCACAGCCAAAACTGATAGAAAAATTCCTTAATAAACCCTTACTCATACTAAAATATGTTCTTATTTTTCTTTCCCTAACATAATGGTAATATAGGTTTCAATCAGGAAGCACCACTCACTCCACATTAGAAAAATACAGTGTTATTTTGTAATTTTTTCAAGATTTCACACTACTACTTTATCTACAGCTAGATAAAATTATTGTCTGTGAGGTTCTAGTTATGAGAAAGAAATGATGGAGAATTTGAGCATGTTTGTTCAGGCTCCTGAAGACAAGGAGGTGCAGCTTACCTTCCACAGAGCAAATATAAGCAGTGCAAGAATCAAGAGTCCGGCGAAGATACTCAGGAGGATAACCCATAAGGGGACTGTACCCGGTGGGTGTTCTTTGGAAATCTTGATCATGGTCTGCAAAGTGTTCAGAACATAAGTAATAAATAATGTGTCCTTCCAAAATATCAAAACAGCAGTGATTAATCTGTATGCAGTGACTTCCCAGGGCACCACTTCATTTTACCAACAGGAATTAGTAGGAGGGAATTAAGAAAATAATTTCCAGCATGAAAGGCTGGAGATTATTTACACAATACTTTGCACTTTTATAAGTGCATTCATTTATGAGAGTGGCACTGCTACAAGTCAGTGATCATTGTCCTAAAGGACACAGGACTGAAATCATGAGGAGTGAAAAAAAGGCTAAGGAGTTTCTTCAGTACACTCTTCCTCACTCAGTGCCAGCCTCCCTGAAAGATGGAGGTAAGCATAAGTGTAAAAGTCTGTGTAGAAACTAACTTGATTTTAAACATGGCATATCTGGTGTAAACCCAACAGAAACAAGTAATAGTCAGTTTTTAATAAATGTGACCATGCAGGAGTTTGAATTGATTAAAGAATTTATTAGAGACCAACTTTACAGTTAAAAAGAACATTGAAGAACTGAACACTAAGCATGAAATTATGTCCCTAAAAAAGTTAAATCTGAAATTCCTTGTCTCTCATTATCTGCAAGCCTCTCAGCTGTGTTTTTTCTCCTGGACTGAATTTTAATCTGTCACTTAAAAGAAATTTCTAGATACAAAACCAGCTAACAATGGACCACTGATTTTTGCATTTTCAAAAATATTTTGTGCAAGATGTATTTCATATTGAATATTACTTTTCTAAATTTTGGAGTATTAACAATAAAAAATCATAATAGGATTTCTGCTTTAAAAAATGGACACTGTAGTAAATAAGCTCCTCCATATACAAGTTATCACAAAAGACCAATGTTTAAGCACTAAAAATGCTTGGAATTGAGAGTAGTAAAAGGATGAATACCTCCATCAAAACTTTAGACATTTCTCTTTATATCTGATGCCACTATTATCATGTTATATATTTCCTTATCTATGAAATTCATAACAAACTTCTGAAAAATAAAAGATCCTGTTTCAAATATATATCCTGGGTAACAAAGTAGAAGGAAAGAATAAATAAGGAAATAGTAAAGAAAATACCAAGTATGATCAGTTTGAATTGACTCAGAACAATTTTCAAATACTATTGATTCCTGAAAAGAATTATAATTATATTTTTAATTTACATAGCTGCAGGAAGTATTTATATTAAAGCAAGCAGAAAAAATTCAGATAGTACTTATCCTTGCCTAACTGCATTGGAGGGTACTGGGCTTTTGTGTTATTTTCTGACTAATTCTGATATTTCTACTGTAATACAAAATCACTTCTGCTTACAGTAGGATAATGCATTACTAAAAGTAATGATCAGTTCATTAGTAATGGATGAAAATGAATGATTCCATCGCACAAAAAGTTCTATGAAGAACAAAAACATCAATGATCACATTCTTACCTCCAGTTTTTGATGGTCATTTCTCAAAATCAGTGATGAGTTCTCACTCCTCAGTAATGCTTTCACAACAAGGGTTAAGCTGTGAATACTGGCCTGAAAGAAGAGAGTAGTTGCTATGGTTTACAGTTAGGTATTTTTAGTAGAAAGCTTTGTAGCAATGAGAGAGGTGAAGGAAAAACCTAATGCTTTGGGGGATGCTGAAAAACATAAAAGTCAGTGAAACTGCTCATGTATGTCACCTGCAGCACACATTATTGCTTGCAAGACAGCAATACTGTTTTGAAAGGGTAGATAGCAGAGATTTCAAAAGAATATGAATTAATTCTGGAATACTAATGTCTCTCTTCTGATTTTTTTTAATCAAAAAAATTCTTTCTACAGTTGAGGAATCTTCACAGATTAAGACTTACTTAAAAAATATGTGCTCCTTTTCATATCTGCTGGATTAGACTTTGTGGATGCATAAGTAGCTATTAGAAAAAGACCATCAATACAGAATAAGTAAGGGGTGCTCTCTCACCATGATTTTAAACTCCTGCTAAATTATAACTACTTACTTTAGGGATAAGAAAGTGCATGTGACCCAGTTTTAAGGAAATTGTAAAATAGCAGAAGAAACTACTTCAAATACTGGAGGAGAAACTTAAGAAATTGAAAGACACAATTTTAATAGACATTAGAAACATTGGCTTAAGTTTCTCAAACCCAAAAGTTTTCTGAATACAAACAGGATTTACTTACTTTTATGATGGTGGGTTTCCATACTCTCAATGAAACATTCACTTGATATACGTCAGATGGGACCAGGGCACAATTAATAGAGGCACAGCTGTATGTATCACAGTCCTGTTTAAAAGGGACCAGCATGAGGAAATAGGAAGTGACTTTTCACATCATTAAAACTAAACCATGTAAACTACTATATATACAGATCACTTGCTATGACACCAGTAATAAACTGGTATTAATTACTGTAGCTTTTTATGTAAAAATGACACTGCATTATATAAAACAGGTTGAGATATTCGTGCTGTGCTAGAATAGACTCGGTTTTTGTAGGATGGCAAGCCCTGAGGAATCTCTGTTGCTGCAGCTATGGAGCAAAAGTCATCACAGAACTCCTAAGGGAGGCACAGCTTGTAAAAGCAAGTGTTTTTCTCTCAACACAGCTCTGGCTCTTCTGAAGTGTTTTTCGAATCTTGGGACATCTGAATCTCTCAAGCAGGAAATAGGTGTGTGTGAAAATTTGAGTAGCTTTACTTCCTAGCCGGAAGTACAGCAGGATTATGTTGTAAAAAGTTGGATTATGTTGTAAAAAGCTGGAAACCGTCACTTAGCCTAGACTTTTTTCACCTCTGTGAAGGACAATGATGAGCATGGCAAGATACTCTTCCCATGGTTTCATTTGCACCAGAAATTCCACTTGCACCTCTGTGCTGAGGACACCTTCCCCCCGACCTGCTAACATAACTAGAGCATCAAAATCCCTTTGTAACTCTTTCATCTAAATGTGAAGGGCTAGTCCTTTCCAAATGGAATCAATTATAGCTGCATGGAAAATCTCCCAGGTCCACTGGATGTCTAAAGAAGCTGAAAGGGACATAAGAAGCATTTAAAATATTCCTATTTAATATTCCTATTTATTAATTACAATGGAAAACCAGACAGTAATGATTTATTCAGCTGTCAAATGTGCTACTGCTATTTACATATTTTTTAAATTAAACCCCAAATTATCTAAATTTAATTCCACATTGAGTTTTGCTCTAGTCGACATAGAAAAGGTTTTCTAAGTTATTAAAACAAAGTCAGTTTCCAAATGATACCGTTTCAGAGCAGTTTTTACACATCTTTTTCAGAAATACTCAGCTCCAAGATCTGGATTAATGTCTGCAGTGAATATATATATGAATAGGCTTACCATAATTGTATCCCTTGTAGGTTCTTTTATTTTTGACAGCACAAATGGTTTCCCAGTGCCAATCTTTAAGGGATCTACAGGGTAACTACTTTGGCAGATGGCATTCTGTAAGCAGAAATACAAATAATATTCCTATTGTATGGATATGCAATCTATTACAAAAAATGATCTGGAAACAAGTCAACATTGATAATATTTAATATTTAATAACAAATAAAATGTTTACTAGCCACTAAAATAAAATAGCATATTGCAAGAGTGCTGAATAGGAAATTCAGATGTCTATGTATTGAAGTATTATTATTCAAACTGCACATGAAATATTTATGAGATAATTTAACCTAAACTCTATGCAGCTACTTAAACATCTGTACAAGCAAACAAGAGCTTCCTGCAAGATGACCATTATGTGAACCAGCAAGAGTTGGCTATTAAATGAGCTAAACAGCTTTTGCATGGGAAACCACAGAGGCTCTGCCCTAGAAAGCAGACAGGCAGGTTAAGTGCAGGATGCAGAATCCTCACTGGCAATATCCAAGGAGGGGGAGTGGATGCTGGAGCACTGAGGGATCTCTGTGACTGCTTCACAGGTAGCTAGGAAAGCCTTTGGTGTCTTCAGTGTGGGGGAATTGTTTTTTTTCACTCAGGTCATTTTCTTTCACACTGCTAGCATGAAAAATATACAAATCCTCTGCAAATGCACTTTGTCACTCTACTATCAATAGGTGTAGCTAGTAGGACATGAAATTTGTCTTAGAAAAAACAAGATTTACTGAGTTTATGTGCAAATGTATCATATTGGGTGATTGACTAGGGATGACAATAATCGGTAAGGAAATCAAGAACAGACACAACTTCTTTTGTATTCCAAATAAATATGTTTTTTTTTCTCATTTGATATGTTTTTTGTTTTAAAGTGAATCTCATTGATATATTTTGGTTTATTTTTCAGTTGGGCAACACCAGAAAACTAAGTGAAATTATTAGTAGGGAGGTTCACGTGTATATGTCTCTGAGTGAAAGAAAAAAAAAAGTATTAGGTCACTACTTAGTGAGGGCTGGGTTTTTCAACCATGTAGTTATTGATACAGCTCTAGCTGTAATATCTATAGCTCTAGCATAATGGAATTTGTTGGAATTGTGATCTCTGCCAGTTGCACTGGAGGACTGAAATGGAAAAACTCAAATGAGGGCTGCAATGAAGAGCATTTGAAACATATGACCTACCATCCCCTTCAAGAAGTCTCAGTGCCCCAGAGAAGGAAGAAGCCAGAGGACTGCTAGTGCTGGAGAGCAGACATGCAGGAAAGGTAATTTCAGTTCCCAAATGAAGAGAAGTGACAGAAAGTTGGGCTCTAGATGGACACAGCAGGATTCGAGCATTTGCAATAATAAGCACTTCTGACAGTGAAGAGAATATGAGGCTGACATCTGAGTCTGGACATCTCAGCACTTGCAATATAACAAACTAGCCTTGTAACAGTGCAGTTATTGTTCAACTCCATTTTAAATCTGCTTGTTTCCTTTTATGAACATCTGTCCCTCTGTCTTATGCACCTCTGCACATACTTTCAAAACAACAGTATCTTGTTATTTAGACTAAAAGCAATGTGTAATCCCAAATGTCTGCAATTTGCAGTTTCTTAAACATAAATTTCAAATTTAAATTGATCATAAAAATAGAAGTTCCTATCTTACCTGGGAATGAGACAATGCAGTAAGGTAGAGAAGAGTGTTTTTGGCAGCTGTTACATTGGGAAATAAGATCTGCAGTGTGAGGTTTGGCATTGGAAAGTGTTCACCTTTTTCAATCTATAAAAAAAGAAAAATGCTTTGACTAGTACTTTCCTCATTTTGTTGGAATTTGATTGTGAGTTTTTTCCTTTCCTGTGTTTTTATTTTCTTCTGTTCATTTTTACATTTCCACAGTTAGTTATGCAAAAAGTGCTTTATAGGTGAGAGAAGTCACTGTATCAGTGGTGGCTCCTGCTGGTTCCTCCTCAGGTGTGCATAGGTAATTGCTCTTTTGCTCACCTGTTCCTCTCTCCTGTTCTCTCTGAGAGGACACATCTGTAAGCAGCAGCTCTTTCTGGAAAGACCTGCTATGGTTGAGGATTGGGTAACCACCTAGGTGGAATTGCTGGCAGGGGAATTGGTGATATCATCTCTGAAGTGGAAAAACTTAATAAATGCTCAAGAACCTTTTAAATTTTTTCCCTCCTGGCTACTTATTTGTGATTAGCTGCTTGCAAAGAGGAGTTTTACTTTACAAGATCATAAATGTTATGCTCTGCAATCCAGCAGCTTTTTGACTCAGAAAACATAGATTGGCAAATTAGATGAATAATGCCTTAGATGTCCACAGTAGACAAAGAGAAAAGGTAGCTGGGAAAAAACACTGTAGTGGCTTAAAAGAATAGGAAAAAAACCCTTTGTCATTGCAATTTAGTGAGAACAGGAATTTTATCATACCTCATTTTTTACAGACGGAAGTTGATTTAGAGACTTTTACGCTTCTATATGGGACCCTTGATCAGTTTGGGATTTGACAGTAGGAAACAGGATGCTCTCAAGATAACAAAATTCAATTTTGCTGCAACTTTAGGTTGGACTTTTTGTCACAGCATTGTGGAGCACTGACATTTTGTCACATAGCATTGTGGACTGGTTTAGGTTGGAAGAGACCTTAAAGATCATCCAAAGTTACAAGCCCCTGCCATGGGTAGGGACACCTTCCTTCCACTAGAAGATGTTGCTCAAATCCAGCCTTGAACACTTCTAGGGGTGGGGCATCCACAACTTCTCCAGTGCCTCACTCCATAATATCCAATCTAAACCTATCTCCCATTCAGTTAAAAGCCATTCCCTGTAGTCTTATAATTACCTGTCCTTGTCAAAACTGCTTCTCCTGCTCTCTTGAAGCCTCCCACTAGGTACTGGGAGGCCCCAGTGAGGTCTGCACAGAGGCTTCTCTTCTACAAGTTGAATAGCCCTGACTGTTCCAGACTGTCCTCACAGGAGTGGTGCTCCAGCCCTGTGATCATCTTTAAGGGCCTCCTCTGGACCCACTTCAGAAGGTCCATGTCCTTCCTTACTTTGGGAGTTCTAGAGCTGGATGTAGTAGTCCATCAGGGATCTCACAAGAGTGGAGTCCATTGGATATCTTTCCCATGTGATTTTACTTTGCAGTATCCATTCAACCAGGAAGACCACATTCTTGGAGCATGGCATTTACCTATTATAAACCTGACAGGATTTTGGAAATGGCTGCTCTAACTTGCAGCAGGGGTAGTCCAAGTTCTCATTTACCTGGGTATGCTCTCTTTTTCCAGCTGAGGATATAGGGTCTAAAACCCACCAGAACTACTCTGCAGGAGACAGACCATCTGAGACCTTCTAACTCACTGTGTTCCAAAGGAAGGGAGGGAAAAAAAGGGTTTTAAGCACAAAATATGCATGTAGAGGGTTTAATGTATTGTATACCTGCTATTTAAGTAATTCAAACCAAATGGAAAAAAAAATTAAGACTGTACCTATGTCATACATTTTTAATTGTTTCTTACCCTATAATGTAGAGTAACTTCGTCGCCGATCTGCTCTGTTGTGTTAATAGCAGTAGGGACAGTATCATTTGCTGCAATTATAACATGGTGCTCTTTGAAAACACTGTGGGTTAAAAAAACACACAAAAAAGTAAGCATACAAACTTCATAAAAAGCCCTAGGGGTCAATAATATAGGTATTTTTATTATTTAATGAATTTTAGGACTGGTCTTGCAATTTAGAGTGCACTGCTGCATCCTCTGAAATTCAACTGCTCTGCCCCCTAATAGGTCCCACTTTTTACCATGTACATTTAGAATGCTTTGTTCAGATGTAACTACCAAAAAAGAAAATACTATTCCCTAAATTAATACATTAGGGTCTGATTTTGCTGTCCTTATTTTAGGTGTGCAGTCCCTTATCCTGGGCATTGACATATGAAACAGGCAGGATCCTGTAAAAGACAGAATCAAGCAAAACCAGAACAAAGCCAGCATATTCTAAATTCAGCCTTATTCCCTATAGGACAAACAAAGTCTGGAAATACATGCAAAATAAATTTGGCTTAATTATTTACATCTGCACACCACAAAATGTTGTTACAATAATATACAGAATGCTTTTCAGGGATGGAATCTAACTGAATTCTGTCTGTTTCTGAAAACAAAATGTACTACAAGACCTGCATTAAAGTATACATCTGAACTTAGAAAACCCAAACACCCAAGAATCTAAAATGAAGGCTAATTTTTGAAGATGGAAATCAAGCACCACACCATGCAATATTATAGTGACACCAATCCATGGCCATCAGGAACCTGGAAGTATTTGCTTTCTTATGTCATGCTTTTTTATGCTTCCTTCATTCCTGAAATGCCTTTGAATGAATATAGCAAAGTACAGGAACCAGCAAAACCTGCTGTTGTACTTGCAAACTGTGGACCAAATTTAAATGGATAAAATGGAATTTCATCAAGTTAGGGACAGTAACTGCTCCACTATTTCATGACTTATCTTTTCAGAGAAGCCTGTGCTTCTGCTTTATGAACTTTGAAGCTGTTACCTGTAGATACTGGGCACATCAAAATCAAAACAACACTATGTTCTTTGAATACCTGCAATTTACAATGCCAGGAAGTAAAGCTCAGAGAAGTGTCAATACCTTACAAATATTAATCCTACTTCATATTTTACTGGAATTGTAACATGTCCTCTGTTGTCACTCAGGGTCTCAGGTGGTTCTTCACTGTCACTGAAACAAAACAACATACATCACTCAGATCAGACTGCTGGGTGCAAAGGGATCTTAGAAAATGAAATACCTACAGCTCTGGGTATGAAAGCATACTACTCATTTCCAGTTAAATACTGTCTTCAAAAAATAAATTAAAAATACCTTTTCCAAGTCCTGCACCAGCCCCAGCTCACAGACGCATCTTTGTTAAATTTACAGATGGCAGGTGACTGAATGAAAACAGATCAATTAAAAGCCACACCATCCCTGGGTTTTGTAGGGACAGCAAACACTGAGGGCAAGTGCATTCCTTTATCCTATCAGGGATAACTTCTGCAATGCTCTTACTCTTTGAAGGCCAAGCTTTTTGTTAACTGTGATTCATGCTAAAGTGTGCAGTAATTCTCTAGGAGAATAAACCTTTGCTGAAGGTGAAATAACTGGAAATTATGACTCACTTGTAACTCTAAGGCTGTCGAGAGTGTCAACTATTTATTTAGTCCACTTAATCCACTTCTGGACTGAATACATCCATAAGGGTGCCAGCTCTACAGAAAATTTAACTGTACCTTTACAGAAAATTTAACTGTTTGTGAGTTCAGAAGCCACTCGTGTTCTACTATTGAACACAAAACTGTGGAGCTTTAAAAAAAAAAAAATAATCAGAAGGCAGAGACCACAACTGACCTTGTTGCATATACATGAATAGTAGCATTTTCCAGGAGATAGGATGCGTTGAATTGGAAGGATATTTTGAAGGAGATCTGTGTAGAGAAATACATTACACATTTTGAAAGGAAAAAAAAAGCCCACCCTAACAGGTGGTGATATAATGAAAAATGTACCAACTTTTGATTTTATTTAGGGAATCCTTATTAATATTTTAGCAGCTTTCTATGAATCTGAATGAATCTACTATGTGGAATTTGCCCCAGCCAAGAAGGAAATCCAATAGTTTTCACTTGTTAAACAGAAACCTCAAATTTTCACAAGCCTCAAGAAAAAAAATTATGTAGTGTATTAGAAACACATGGTGAAATAATTCTTAACTGAAAGCAATTGGACTTACAAGCAATTTATCAAAATCTCTTTTTTCCTTCTATGAGAAGGAAAAAAAGCTTCAAAGCCTGGCTATTGCAGTGGAGATAAGCTGCCTGTAGAAGGCTGCTAGATTATCACTTAATATACAGTAGAACCCCTAGAATGCCAAAATAAATGTTTACAATGTAAATAAAGGAGAGACCACTAGGTATCAAAAAAATCTCATTGTTATTATAATCAGGATAAATCTATCACAACTTGGAATTACAAAAAATTTAGGAACACTGTCCTAAATGTTCTTTCTCATATCTGACACTTAAGTGTAATTTTATAAGAAGCAAAAGTTTTCGTATTTGTTACTGTATGGAATTTTCCGCTCAGATTTTCATCTTTCCTTTTATGTGTACAAATCTTTATTTGTATTTACAAAGTGATCCACAGGAAGTTGTCCTATATATAATATTTAAAACAAAAAGCAGCTTTAGAAAAGAATATAAAAGGGGATGAAAAGAATATAAAAGGGGATGAAAGGAATATATTAGGGATGCATCAGTGAAATCAGTGAAACAGAGGTTAATTGATTTCTGAATGCATAAAAAAAGTGTAAAATTTCTAAATTTAGGGCTTTACAGCTACAGACAAACAAGCAAAACATGAAAGGAAAATATGAAAAATCCAGTAAAGCTGTGAATGGAACACTGTGGGCAGAGGCATTGGACAATACACTTATTTGGCTTCAAGAAGGTAACAGCTGACTTTATCCCTACAAGTCCAAGTCCAAGCTGGAGTGTTTGTGTGGGAGGCAGTGTAAGATGACATCAGTACTCCTGGAGCATGACAGAGGGGCAAACAAGAAACTGCCAGGGAAGGTTGTCTTATTTGCATGAGAACTGATATTTCCCAATTCAAGATCAAGACCTAAGCATGGCTTTTTGAAGCCTTAGTTTAACTAAAGTTCCCTCTCCATCCCAACAAGAGATACAGACATCACTGGAACTGCTCAAGATGGAATTTGATTTTATGCTGACTACTTGCTGGAAAGGCCTCTCATTCTCCACTGAGCAGAGGTGAGGTCTTGATGCCTGATTTTGGCAGACCTGGGATGGCATCTGATTCTGTCTTCAATCAAGGGACTACATTTTATATACAAAATAACTAAACTTATAGGCTCCAGGCTGTGGAAAGCCTTGAGACAGACACTTCTCTCCAGGTGAGCCACTTGTGTGACACTTGCATTCTGACAGTGTCAAGGCAACATGCATCCTTTACATCCTCTTGTACCACATCTGACTGCCCAGCTAATGAAAATCTGATGGTTTCCCATTTGCCTTTGTGCAGCTGACGTCAAGGATAGCTTGGGAAACATGCATGGAGAGTTTCTGGGATGAACACAAGAGAAAAGAACTTCAGAGGTGATATGCACTGCCCTGCCTTTAGAATAACATGGGGCAAGGAGAACTTGCATGCAGGGGACTTTTTACCTCTTCTTCAGGTTTTAGAAATGGATATCCCACTTTACAGGTGATATTGTGATTAGATTCACAGCTATCTTTCTGTATATCCTGAAGGGAAAAAGACAGTGAAAGCATGGCTTTGTAGAAACTCCTTTAAAATTTTGACTGAGTATCACAGACCTGTTGAACATATATACCACTACCACTTTTCACTGTCTTTATATTGTGAGAATCAAAGCCTTAGTCAAACTTGAACAAAAATATGAAGTCACAAATTCTGCAAGACAATTTTCACCTATGGACACTTATACCAATTACTTGCCATTATGTCTTTCCAATGACAGTGTTTGGAACAGTCACAATTATATGTCTACTGGACATCATGTAAATTAGTCATTGGGTCTAGCAATCAACATATCTGTATTTACACAGTTTTCAAATTTTGTAAATATGTTCTTAATGCAGCAATAAAAGTTACATTCATACTCCCATCAATTATTGCCATAGGATCAGCAACAGTGCTACGGATCCCTGACTTCTCCTAATGTGTAGTATCAGGACTGCTGACAGAAGAGAAACTGCCCTAAATGCTTCCATATCTGCTAAGGCAGGAAGGAAAACAGCCACTTTTGGAAATGCTGTCTGAGGTAGGATAGACACAGGCACTGATATATCCTGTCCTACCATGACAGTGGTTTTTCTACACACGTGCAAAAGGAGAATTTTAGAGGCTCAGGAGTTCTACCGGTAAACAACAAGGCATTTCTGGCTCTACAGATCTACCTCTGATGTTTGTCTAACAGGCAGGCACTTTTCCTAAGTGCCATTGTGAAATTTACATCTGTATTTTAGGAACAGGACTAGGCAAGAGTCCACTCATGTCAAAAAAAATACACTCCTTGGGAGGCATAAGCAAGAAGAACAGCCCTGGGAAATCTCTTTCAAACAACTGAAATGATGCCAGAGCAGACAAATTAAGGTATAATAAAAGGGCTTCCTCATATCTCTCTAGCATTATATGTTACGATAACTGTGATAATGTAGAAAGAAATCCTACCTCAATGCCAGCAAAAATAATATTTGGAGAGTACTGAACCAAAACTCTGGTATTATAGGCGCTATCTTTTTTGTTCTTCACAGAGAGCTGGATGGTGAACTTATCATTGCGTGACTTTACAATGAATGGAGAAGAGCTGCAAAATAAAGTAAGAATGTTGAACATCTTAACTATTGAATCTGTTTTTAACATAAAGAGAAACTTTTTTCAGTCTCCAGACTATCTTGTTTCTTAATTAGAAAGGAAGCCCTGGGCAGAATTTATAATTCATATAGAAACTTTGTAGAGATATCAAGAAATGCATTAAACCCAGTGCAGTTACCTGTCTCCAGCTATGCTTGCTTTTACAGTCAGAACAAGATCTGAAATGCATCTATTTTTGGCTCCACAATCTTTTGTGAAAGGAATCTGCAAAAATAATATGTTTATTTTTAATTTTATTACATCTATTATCAAATACTTGTATTTTAGTGCGCTATCTAACTTTATGTAAGACCTTCTGTTAAATGATCAAAGAAGTCTTCCCTGATATTAACCAGTTAAACATGCTAAAATCTTGTAAAATGCATGGGTGAAATATAAGCTTTCTCATCACTCCCTTCTAAATGATGCCCCTGGATTCTGAAAGGAGGCATTAATAGAAATATGAATGATGGCAAGCACCACCAAAGTAAACAGATAACACTCTGCTCCACCTATCTAAAACCCGACAATAAAATTCTTGGTTAACTCTCTTCTATCTTCAGTCAGCTATGGACAGCTTTGAAACCCCAGCATGGTTCACAAGCACATAGAATCAAACTTTTAATTCCAAAAAGACTCATTTGGAGGAAACATTGCCTGGACAGGCTCAATGACCTCCCCCCTCTCCAGCCAATTTGTGGGCAATAGTTTCAGCTCTTGTGTGGGCTATGATTTTAACCTTAAATACATTGGTTATTGATACAGAATTTTTCTGACTTACATATTCTGCTATTGAATTTGGCAAGTTGCTGTCAAGAACAGGTCCACTCTCCGGATCAGAAAAATTGAATTCCAGCAAAACCTTTACAGAGTCCTGAAAATCAGGCTTATCCTAGAACATAAGGAAAACAAAACTGCTGTTATGGAAATTCACTTTAGTATCTAAGGAGGTTAAAAAGACCCAAAAATGCTGAGGTAAAAAATTTTCCTGTTACAATGCTGGCAGACTTCTAGAGAAGCATCTGAATGCTTGCAATTAATGATGAAACATTCAATGCGCCAGGCATTCCTTATAAATATTTACTAAGGTTTTCGTGTATCTTATCACAAATTTCAAATAGCCTGAGCATATCCCACAGACTCTCATTGAAGAATATCTCAACTATTGACTCACAGACTTTTCTCTTCTAGTTGTGCTCAAAGGATCAGTAAGATAAGCATCAGCAGCATCACCTTTTGTGAAGTCAAACTTAGGCCTGCTGTTTGGTGAAGAAAATTCTGAGTATCATTTACCATTAGTTTTGCAGTAAGACACAACTGTGAAGTCACAAAACATTTTAAATGTGATTACAGTATGCAGCTCTATTCACTCCACACACTGGCTACAATTTCAGCAAATTCATACTCACAGTTGCTAATTATGCTTCTGTTTTGCAGTGAATAAATATTCTCTATTCCAAATCTTAAAGTTTATTTACTTTATTTTATTAGGAGGAATTGCACCAAAATGCAAACTGAAATTCTCTCACATGCTCCTGCTGAGTTTTGAGTGCACCTGAACTGCTAACCATGACAGGTGCTTGGTTCCACCAAGAGAGGTATGCTCTTTCTTAAGACAGACACAGAGACATAGCTAAAAAACTGCATACAAAAGTAAATTGTTAATACATGTATAAAGAAATAGTTTTAAACAAATTTTATGTACATTTCTTAAGATAAATTCTGAGCACATATTTTGTTGTCCAATTTGCAATTAATGGAAGTCATACTTGGGTTACACTACTGTCAACATGAGAAAAATACTTTAAATGATTTACTTGCCAACATGTAGAAGTTATGTTTTGTACATTCTGACCCTTTGATTGTTATATTTTTTTGCATTTTCCTCTCATGACTTTCTGTGAACAAGCTTCGAGATATCTGTCTTTGTGCATCAAGGGTAATCCAATATTGCAGACCTGCAAAGGAGTTTGAGATCAATATTATGAAGCACTTTACCTCTACACATTCTTTTTTCCCCAAAATATCTTAGATGTGCTTCGAACACTGAATTTAGAAGAGCTGAATTCCATTTTTTAATTAATAAATGCATACAAGAATAGAAGTTTTATAGCTTAAATCTTCCATAGATTAGTGCTTATCTACTTACTGGATTCAAATATATCTTCTTTTGACTTTAGTCTGGTCTTAAAACAAATTGTGGCGTCTATGCATATTGTTTTTCTTATATTTATCTGACAATTTTGTTGCTGAATATTGATGCTTTTAGGTATAAATTGCATGGAAACATTTACTTCAGCCACATCACGAGACCTTAGGAAAAAACACAAAGAAAGTGCTTGGAAATAAGAGCAGCAACTTTTTTAAACTTAAGAATGAACTCACAAAATATGCAGCATTCAACATTCAGATACAGACATAGAATCACATAGGAATCATTAAGGTTGGAAAAGACTTTAAGATCATTTGAGTCCAACTGTCAAAAATTTATAGCTAGAAAGAAAAAATTCCTTAATGTTCTTTGGAAAATAACAGAAGCATAAAATCCACAATTGAAGTGAGACTCCTGTGGCACATGTTGATGGCACCATGCTGCAGTACAGTCGCTGACACAGCGTTGGCCATGTTGTGACAATTAAGAGGCCATCTATTATTTCATGTTTTCTGTCTTGGCTGTGTGATGCTATAAAAACAACTGGCAGTTACAATTCACTTCTCCAGCACATTTTCAGTCTGCATTTGCCTTTCTCCATTTAGGCAGATTATTGCATGCCTGTTTACTGCTGTCACAGAGAGAACTCATCATACAGAAAACCAAAAAGTAAGCAACAAAAAGAGGAGGCAAAGGAATGTCCTCAGCAGCTAAAACCTATAAAGCACTAAAGCATTTTTTAAAGCTCAACTACCACTCAGGAGGGAAAGCCCCTGAAGGATTGGGCACAAGAACAACACGATGGTCTAGAAAAGTAATTAACTATATAACCTATACCTAAAAATAGTAAAAGAGGAATTATGGAGGAAACAGTCACAGGATTTCTCCACAGTGCTGTACTTGTTTCAGAAAAGATACCAGGTGAAATATTTCCAGAAGCATTTAAGCAACTCTACAAAGCCAGATTCATTTTAAGAGAGATTGAACTCTCTTATCCTTGAGAGTATCACAAGATACTCTCAAGGATAAGATACTTGTACAAGAACAAGACTTATCCTTGAGAGTATCACAGATGAAAATAATATTGTACATAAGTTGGAGGACAGCAAACCATCTCTTACGTTGTGGGTAGACAAACAGGCTAATATTTGTTCCCAGTCTGTTTCACTTTAAATGCCCTTTGTTCTTGCAATGCATTCCTGTCTCATCCCTTGGTCTGATTCAGCTCCCTTTTGGCCATGAGATGCAGCATGTCAGTGTACTAAACCATCAAAAAATTTAGTTGGCAAAGTAACTTTCTTCAGAGTTTTGGTCTCAACAATGCAGTGAAAGACATCACACTATGGTTTACACATGGAACATTTAGAAAGAAACTACAAGGTGAAGTTCAGAAGAAGCTGGGAACTTGAGGATAGTAGCAAGCCTTGGTAAACTCGATCACCTACCAGGTGAGTTAGGTGAAACAGCAGGACAGAGAAAGCAAGGAGCTCGGTCAGCAATTTCCTTACCAGAAACAGAAATAGTTTCAGTTATGGCTTAGAAATGAGGGATTTAATATCATACTGTTTGTTTGTCTTCTCCCTTAAAAATTATATTGCTCACTACTAGATCTGAATCATACTCATATAAAGGAAATGAATGACTGTTAAGCAGAAGGCTTAGTTTAATTTTACAGATTTTCTGTAGGGACTCAAACCACAGTTTTCCTACTAAGAAATAAAATCAGTTTTCTTAGTGACCCCTTTACATTTGAATCTGTTCTTGATATTGTTAATAAAATAATATGCAATATACTGTGAAAAAGAGAGAAATTCAGGTTTTTTCCTATTTTACCTAGTGCCACAAGTGGAATCAGTTTCTATTTTGAAGGTGGTCTAGTTCTTCCTAGTTCTTCTAGTTTTGAAGGAGGACAAGTTCTTCCTTCTAGGCTAGCAAGATTTCTATAGCATCCCTGTATTTATAACAGTATACATTAAGTTTAATGCTTATTCCTCTAGAGAGATGTGAAAAGATGAATATTTGCAGTCAGTGCCAAAATATGGGGTGAAACCAGTAACCTTACAAAGTCCAAACAATCATGCATGCAAGTTACGCTGGTATCCAAGCAAAAGTTTTTTTCCCTGACAGTTGCTGTGATTCTCCGTACCAGAAGAGGGCAGCCCCACCAAGGCCTCCGATGGTAACATCAATCAGCCCGTCATCGTTTAAATCCATTTCTCCGTGCACGGACTGGCCAAAAAATTTCACTTTTTCCCCATCTCCACCTGATGCAATACGCTGTGAAATGCATAAAGAGGTTAATGCAGTGCACTTTGAAGGGTTTTGTAACAGTCAAGATGCATTTGACGGCAGTGAGAGGGGGTTTAGGCTCTTTAAGGACGTTAAATTTTCATTACAATACCCCTAAAATAGTTACCATGGTGATGAACACACTATAAATTTTCAGATTGCAAAATATCTGCTTTTCTGGCTGTCCAGAGCATGTCAGAATGTTTCTAATAAAACCATGTGAATATATTCTTTAACAATACTAAGACTCAGATTCAGTTAAATCAGTATGAGTATAAAAGCATAGAGCAGTTTAAAAAAAGCTGCTACAACTGGCCAAGTCACAGCCTCATTCTATGTTGGGAAGACAGGATTATAAACATTATATACATTAGAGCAGCTGTTAACCTGCAGAGTTTTACTTCATACCTGCGAATATTTTTTACTGATTGCTTTGCCACGGCCATGGTAAATATAAACAGCGCCCCGATGGTCATCTTCCAAGGGAGAGCCTATCACAATGTCATTGTACCCGTCCAGGTTGAGGTCCTTCACTGCAGCAATCGCTGTCCCGAAGCGCGCCCCGCAAGGCTCGTTCTTAAGAACTTTGCAGGTGTCCTGCTTTAATGGTGAGCAGCACGTTTGCTTCACGGGTTCAAGACTCATCTGATATTCAAACTTTGTCTGTGGAAGAACAGATTTAGAGTTTGTGAATTCGTGCCAACATCTCAGACATGCAGACTTTTAAGAGCTCTTGTCCAGAGGACAAATGGATGAATTAAACAGAACAATTACAAACTATTCCTAGTCATTACGTGGACTGTAGAAACTGTGCTTCTACAACTATAATTCAAGTATTCTTTCTGAGCAGAATGTGGCAATAACATTCTTGCTCCCTCTCTTTCTGCCTCTAGATGTTTCTGCATATTTCTTGAAATTAGAGGTTCACAGGAAAGCACAGTATCATAACAATATTTGAATGCTATTGTAAGTAAACCACTTCATTCGTTAGGGACTGTAAAGAGTTTTTCTAAAAGCATTCTCTTAATCTGAGAAGTTAGCCAAGTTCTAATGAAACACAGATGGCAATACTGTTACTGCAGAACAAAAGATAGCATTTCTTTTACACAGACTGAATTTTGCCCCCAGTAGACACATACACTGTGGCCTAACACACGTATTCTGATGAATCCAGTGTGTATACTGGACCAAAAACACACAGAAACTAGGGCATGTAAACAATCTTTCCCATGAATTCCATGTCAGAAATAAGCAGTAGCAAGCAGTTACTGCATCTCCTTTATTTGGAGCTGGGTAACAGTAAATACAGGAAAAACAAATTTCAAACCCCACGTTATTGGAGGACATGGAATTACTGTTTTCTCATGAATCCTATTCACCAGCACTTTGTTGTTGGCAACATGCATGTTGAGACTGTAAGAATTCCTTGTCAAAAATATCCAGTCTCCTGAGGTCCTTTTCTAGAAATAGGATTTTAGGAAATCATCATTGCTAAGACATATTTTGATAATATGATGGGAGAGGAGGAGAGGAGAGGAGAGGAGAGGAGAGGAGAGGAGAGGAGAGGAGAGGAGAGGAGAGGAGAGGAGAGGAGAGGAGAGGAGAGGAGAGGAGAGGAGAGGAGAGGAGAGGAGAGGAGAGGAGAGGATGCACAGACAGTGAAAGAAAAGACTTAGCAAATTAATAAAGGAAGAGTGTGTGGTATAATCCTCAATCTAGTCAGACATTTAAAAGCTGTTGGATGTATGGGGTTTAGCCCTAGGTTGCTCAGCAATTCACAAGGATACTGGAGATCACGCTTTTAGGATGAATGAGCCCTCCCTAATCCATGAAAGTAAAAAAAAAAGTGCTGGAAAAGTAGTCCTATAAATTTGTATCATTACCAAACTTTAGCTTATAAGATATAGTACTTATGTACAAATATACTCCATTCTCAAACTATTGTTTGAGAATGGAGTTTAAAATTAAGTTGCATTATAATCTCATTTGTCAAAACTATTTTCCCCTATTTTCAACAGGCCATCTTCCCCAGTTCAAATTACTGTGTTTCTTTAAAATAAGGATAAGAAGGCAATAAAGAGCATGGTCTATTCCTGTTCAATAAAAATCATCACCTTACCTTGTTCAGACTGTAAACATACACTTTCCCTTGCTCCTCTTTCTCAGTTCCCATATACATAGGAGCTCCAACAAGAAGAAGGTCTGTAAATGAGTCCCTATCGATGTCAACTGTGGTAATAACACCCCCAAAGTATGATCCAATCTGTAGGAAAACACAAAGTATACATCAGAGACAGAGCCAGCAATGTTATGCTGCTTTTCCTTTTCAGAGACCTACTTCTTGCTTGCAACATATTAACCACTACGCATAAATTTTCTTTACTAGCTAGATTTTTTTGGTCTCTCTTTGAAGCTTGTTTTCAGTTTTAGCATTTATTCTCTGATTTTTTTTTATTAACAAGTAGGCCATTCAACTTTCAACTCTTCTGAGTTTGAAAGGATAAAAGGGTGCTTTCTACCTGTTATGGGGAGTATGACCTCTTAAGACAGCACTGGAATAAGAGTATCTTGGGGCTGCTAGTTTTCTCTTCAAAAAACAAGTAAAAAAGCTTGGACAAAAGTTCTGAGATAGCTCAGTGTAGACAGTCACTCAGGTTACTATTTTCAGAGGAAAAAAATTACATGAAGAGATAGATACATTCATAGATCAGGAAAAAGCCATAGGATTTATTTGATTATATTCACAGATAAGCAAAATACTCTGCACTTCCTTTACACTTAACAGGAGAAACAGCCTCTTCTAGTCCAAGATACATCTCCTCTCATAGAGATGCTTCAAGTAGTCCAGATGTCTCAAACCTTAAAAATCACAGAATCACTGAATGGGTCAGGCTGGAAGGGACCACAGTGAGACATCTGGTCCAACCTCCCTGCTGAAGTAGAGTCATCCCAGAGCCCACAGCACAGGATTGTGTCCAGATGGTTCTTGAATATCTCCAGTGAGGGAGACTCAAAATCTCTCTGGACAATCCATTCCAGTGGTCACCCACAAAGTAAAGCATTTCTTCTTTATGTTCAGGTGGAGCTTCCTGTGCATCACTCACTCCCCTGTCATCTCTTGTCCTTTTGCTTGGCAGAACCAAGCAGAGCCCGGTCCTGCTCTGACCCCTCCCTGCAGACACTGACAGACACTGATGGGGTCCCCTCTCAGTTGTCTCTTCTCAAGGCTGAACAGGCCCATACCTACTTTAGTTCATTAACTCTAAAATGTTTGTTTGATTGAGTGATTAATTGGCTGATTGATTAGCTGAGTTGCAGATATCAGCTATAGATGAAAATTAGGTAACCTGAATGCTCCTGAGAGAAGGTGATTCTGCAGTCTGGGGAGATGAGAATAGGCAGGTCTCTCAATTCTCATAAGCATAATATTATCCTAATAGTACCATCCTTTATTACGCAATTATGTGGGGATTTTTCCTCCTACAGCAACAGCTCTCAGTGAGCTGATACCCAGTGTAACAAGCAGCTATTCAATACTTCTGTCTATCCAAGAAGATACCCTTGCACAGAACCCTGCTTGTCAAAACTCTTTCCTGCCAGTGACATGCTCTTCCATTTAGCAGACAGAACAAATTGCACGTACCGAGATGGCAACAACCACTTTGACACTAGTGAAGATTTAACCCTCAAAGACAAAATTCCCAAGTATCTAATGTACAATCCAATTTGCACTGCTAATTATGCCAGAGGATCTCCCTAACTTTTCCTTCTGATCTTGCTTACAATTCCCAGTTTCATGTGCTCTTCTAATGAGTTTTCATTTGAAATACTTATTATTTCTTCTGCTATATTCCTTTTGTATGTTTTTGAACTTACTTGTTCTCCATTTAATCTCTGAATCACTTGCACCTCTTTTCCTTCCATCTTATAAATGATAACTTGGCCAGTGTGATTGTATCGTGGCTGTCCTGCTATGTACAGCACACCTCCAGGAGTCAGTGCTGAATTCACAGTATATCCTAGGGAGCAGAAAGAAATCAAGATACAATACACACAGAATGCATCAGAAATACTTGCTGTGATTCAGAGCCTTTGTAAGGTTTATTCCACAACTAGATATTTAGCTCTATTCATGGTAGAGAGCAATAGCAGTTAATGAAAAGGCCTTTTTTTCATTTACAGTCTCAGAGTTAGGAGCACCCCTAGGTTATTAAACCTGTTCCCAGGCTGGTGAGCCATGGTCACTTTGCCATTCTCACACAGTGTAAGAAATAAGTCATGAATAGCTGCTTGAAAAGCTACTTTCAAAGAACAGTTGTCACTGGCCCGCTGTCAAACTCATGGAGTCTTCAAAAAGTGATTCTGGGGGCATTTTGAACCTACCTGTGTTCTGTTTAATCTTAACAACAGTTTAACAACTTTGGTGAAGGAAGACTTGAAAAATTTGCAGTGAAATTAAAACTGTGAAAGAGTTGCAAGTATTATGGGAGTTTACAACCTTAATTTGAAAACTACATTACCATATTGGAGTTGTAATAAAAGGCAACAGCTAAAGACATTTGGCAATGAAGAAAGTGTACTTTGGGAAAAACATTAAAATATTCTAGCACTGATTCTTTGTCAATGGAAGTATGACTTAAATGAGAGCAAACAGAAGCATGAGGTATAGAAAGCAAGACCTAGAGGAGAGAGCACTGAAGCTTTTTGGTAGAAAAATAACCTGCCAATGCAAATGCATTTTTGCATTTGGTAGAAAAATAACCTGCCAATTGCCAATGCAAAACATTATTATAAAAAAATATATGTTGGTCTTGCTGGTTTTGTCCATTGAGTGACAGAAAACAGCCTAATTTTAAGTAAATATTTGGACTTAATATTGTATAAGACTTTTTAACTATCAAGGCATATAAAAACTTGATGACAATACTAGAGGAATCTGTGAAATCTTCTTTGAACAGATTAAACATCTCTGTTGGGAAAGTCTAAATATACTTAGGTCTATGTTTGGACTTGTTTTCTAGTTGTAGGAGTTGTTACTTATGTTTTTTAAAGAACGTGAAAACCACAGAGTAGATGTGCTCCCAGGCTCCTGGCATATAAAATATTCTGTAACATACTCCTTTTGAATGAGCTTTGAGAGACATCTTGTAGACTTTGTTGAAAAGTGTTGCAAGGTGGGCTATTTCTCTTACCTAGGTAGGCTGCGAGAGGTTCGTTTCTCTCGGAACGCCTGTCACGGAAGGTGTCATTGGTTGGCATGGAAATACCAGTGTCTTTCACCATCAGCACTGTGCCATTCCAGTCATATGCTCCAACTGCTCCAAGCATGACCCAATCCTTAGGGAGAGTAAAACAAAAAGCCTGTTCTCTACATGAATCATCTTTTCTCTATGTGAATCAGCTTTAGACGTTCATAGTTCAGGATGCTCACATTTGGGTAATGCTTCCTGCGTACTTACATAGTCAGTCTTGCTTTTCCTATTATGGTATGGATCCTACAATTATAGGGTCATAGAGAGGCTTGGGTAGAAATGTCCTGAAAGATCATCCAGTTCCATCCATCCATTGCCATGGCAGGGATGCCACCGACTAGACCAGTTTGTTCAGAGCCCCATTCAACTTGTCTTTGAACACCTCTGGGGTGGGGCATCCACAGCTGCTCTGCACAATCTGTTCCAGTGACTTTGCTCCAAGTAAAGAATTCCTTTCTAACATCTAATCTAAACCTCTGCTCCTTTAGTTTAAAACTGTCCCCCCTTGTCCTATTGCTAGCTACCCATGTAAAAAGTCATTCTCCCTCCTTTTTATAAGCACCTTTTAAATACTAGAATGCTGCTCTAAGGTGTTCCTGGAGCTTTCTCTTCTCCAAGCTAAATAAGCCTCTCTCTCTCAGCCTGTCTTCACAGGACAGGTGCATCAGCCCTCTGGTCATCTTTGTGGCCCTACTCTGGAACTGTCTTTCAAGTTAAAACATTGCCCCTTGTTCTGTCACTAAGGGCTCTAGTAAAAAGTTTTTACCCAATCTTCTTAACATATTTTTAGGCTATTTTCCTGATAGAAAGTGCCATGGGAACATTAAGTTTAGAGTTCATATTAAGTATATATGTACTCTCTCATGCTTTTGCTGTTCATATATGTTCTTTGCATACATTTTACAAAGAAGGTAATCACAGGACACTCCAAAACTTCCAACAGCAAACAGGACTATACAAAGAAATCCAAAACACTTATTCCAAATTCACAGAACCACCAGCAAAAATCTACTTTGTAAAATAACTTCTATTTTCAAATAGTCTGTTTACCTGAGAATAATGAGCACTGAAACCAGCTTGAGACATTTCCATTTCAAAAGAGGAGGCTTGCTGGTCTGTTGTTGCTATTAAACAGAAAAAAATAAGTTTAAAAAATAAATTTGTTCCAATCTGAAAAAGTAAATGAAGAGTGTTATGAAAATGATCATATGATTGTAAAGGATAGCATAATTAATGAATCTATTCAGTGACTATAGTTTACCGTCCAGTTTTATAATAAACACAGAAGACCCATGTTGAATGCTACTATCAAGTACGGGAATTTCCATTTTAAGATCATGTCTCAGAACTTGTCCAACAAAGTTTCTGGGCTAAAACTGACCAGATTTGAACTCAGACTGATGGCAAGTATGTTTGGAATGTTTGATTAATATGGTTAAGCCATTTTCCACTTGAGCTAAGTGAACAATAAAACATCAGCCATGTAACCCTGGCCTTGTATTCAAGCAACTCAAGTTTTGCAGGCAGCTGGAGGAACTTTAAATGAAAAACACTTGATGTTTGTATGAACCTTTGCAAAAACAACATAGGAAAATCTCTGCTGTCCAAGATTTATAAGCCTTAGTGAAGTGCTCGGGAATGATAACCCTGCCCAGACAATTACATAAAGATCTGATTCTCTTAAATGACTTTGAATAAAAAAGTTATCAGGTGATTTTGTACTAGATTCAGTATCCTGACAAGTAGTCATATGCTAGTTATTAAACTTTGATGGGATGTTTTTCTTTGAGGTAAACTTGAAATATTATCAGAGAAGAAAAAGTTCTGCCTTTTCCTCTACTTAAAAGAAAGATAAGCAGCCCTTAATAGTCAAGGACTATTTTGCCACTCTAAGTGTCCAAGTAAGGGAACTATATTCTGCATGTTGATTCTTCCTTGAGAGCAAGACATGCTAACAAGCAGTAGAGGCAAGCTATGAAATCTGCTCTGATACTGCTCCAGGAAGAGTTCACAGTTTGCTACCAGCTGAGTGTTGCAGCAAGCCTTCAACTGTGGGAATGAAACGGAGCCATAGCAAGCCATGGTTGCATGAATTTCAGGCATCTGGACTATTAAATAATACTGAACTTTTCATACTCAGCAACTAAACCCCAGCAGTTGCTCCCAGGGACATGATGGCTTTCCTAATTGTTGCAATTTACAGCCAGTCGTAGGAAGGAGACATGATCTCAAGTGTAAAGTGTTTGACATACAAACGAAGACTATAATGTCTCACAAGATGTAGATGCTTTGCTAAGTCTGAACAAGTCATTTTTAGGCAAAAAACTCTTAAGCTGCACATCTGCTGATAAACAATATTTTCATGCAGTAAAGGATGCTCCTTAATGAGCTGAGAAAGACAGGATTCTCACAGTGTGAGGCAGAGGACAAAGCTGGTACTGTTGGAGTGTGCAGCTCAAAATACTACTTAGATAATGGCCCTTAGCCTAACTTTCCATTCAGTTTTAAACTGCCAAGCATCTTACAAAGGATATTTTGTGAAAAAACATTTGTGCCTGCCTACGGGTTGGATAAAACATAAAATTGCTGTTAAAAGCAATGTCCATGCCATGAGACACAGAGGGATATGAAAAAGATTATGTGTAAAAATTCACTGGCTGTCAAGCAGGGGTTTTTGTTGGATTTGATTTTTCAAATGTCTCTCAATTTTTCTTCGAATTTTTTAAAGAACCAAAATGAAGTTAAGAAATCCAAGAAAAAAAAATCAAATGTACTACTACACTAGCAAGAAGCAATTTAGATTGAGAATTTAAACAGATTCAGATATCAAATTTCAACAACCAAGGTTCTTGTGATGCACAGAAGCTACTATGTACAGAGCTGATTAATCTCCAATTAAACACACACAATAAACTGGCTTGTCAATAGCTGTAGGGCACAGAATTAACCTGCTTGCTTCCACCACCAGAAAAAATGCATGCATGGACATGGTTGTGAATCCAGAAAACTGAAAGGTTTTGGGATAGGACAGGAAACTATGCCTCAAGAATCAGCATAAATTGATTTAGTCAGTATTATCTAACTCAGTATTAACCAACTGCTGGAGCAGCTCGACCTTGCTATGCTCTGACAAAAAGCTAAAATCCTATTTTCATTTGTATTCTGATTCTCCTGCAGACAGATTACATTACTTCTGGGACTTAGGTTGAGGAGGAGACATTTCATGTCTTATATTGCAGGTGTCTTGTGTAGCAATCTTAGCACATCTCTGAGTTCCCAGAGAAAATCTGCAAACCAAGATGCCTTTTGGCAGTAATGAAATTAATTAGATTTTCAAAATCTCAGTCATGCTAGGTCTTACATCCTTCATCTGTTGCAACATTATTTAACTTCATATTCTATATTCAATATAGCTAATAGATGTAAATAACATTTTATTCTGACAATGAAACACAAATATTTTTCTCACTTTTTTAAAAGTACAAAGGACAACTTGAAGATCAAGTTTTCAATTTCTGTTTGAACAACTATATTCTCACTAAACTGTATAATTCTTAGTACACAGTGACTTACGAAAAGAGCACCCTATTTAATTAACTTTGAAGTACTCATTGGCCCTAAGTAGGCTAAACTTTGAGCTTTAGCGAATTAGATTCTCCTCAAATTAATTTGTTGCAAAGCTGAGGAAACCAAATTGTCCAGAAGGTAAAAAAGAACATATAAATAATATTCTAATAAACTTTTTATTGCTGAAAACATCTAGTAATAGCTGAAATCATTAATATTTGACCAAACTAAATAATACACCAGAAAAATCTAAATATGTCTGAGAAATACAATTCCAGTGTAAAAAAACTGAAAATACTGTCTCAATTTTGTACATTCAAGTCAATATTTTCTTTTATTCCAGCTATAAACTACACTATTCTAGCTACTTGGAAAGTTGAAGTGTTGAAAAAAATAGTCCAAATAGATGGATGTTTTCTTTGTACTACATGAATCCCTCAGAGTTGGCCAGTATAATTTATAACTAATAAACTCTGTCTCCTGTTACCAGTAGTACTTGAAACAAACAGTGGTTTGGGCAGTGTTGTCTCATTTGGATGGAGAATGTAAGCAGACATTGTGAGAGAATGACTTTTCTGTGCCACAATCTAAATACTGTGAACATTGCCAAAGGAAAATCATATTTGTTAACTCTATACAGCAAGTCCATGCTAATTTGTGTAGGAAACTAATATACTATAATTAATAATTAACCAAAAAGAGACCCTAAACATTTAGGCAGAAAGCCAGATAATCATGGGGTAATTGGGGTATGATCTGGCAATGTTTTTTACCTAAAAGAGGACAACTTTCTAATTATTGCATTAAAACAGTTCTGGTTACTTACATTTTTAGGCTATTGTTGCCACAGGCTCTAACTCCTATGCATATAGTCACATCTGTATCTACTATTTTGATGCCTATTATAAAATATTTTTATAACCAGCACGGAAGAAATAATTGCATAATAAATTTCACACAGCAGAATGCATTTCAAAGGGAGGTAAAAACAGGTGCTCTTCTATTTGTTTCAGTTGTAATGCAGGCATAAAATAAAATGTTAAATAATGTCATACCTTCCAGGGCAAATATTCTCTCTCCAAGTGCTTCAACAATGGTTAAAAGAGCTAATTCATCTGAGACATTGAAAAAATGCTTTTCAGTAGGCTTACTGGCAATTGATTTTATTTCCTCTACAAATTTCTCAGTGCTTAAATTTCCTCTGCTGTAGCTGCCAAGAATCTAAAGAAAATAAAAAACCCAAAGAAACACAAAAAAAGGTCAAACATACATTTTATAACCTGTTTAAAAAGATATCATTGAGGTAAGTTGTCAGAGAATGGTGGAAAATCATATCTAACCTTAATTTGTTTTGTTAAAACCTCTCTCAAATTGATTTGAAGTCATTCTTTCTCAAGGAGAAGAGAACTCTATGATGGCTCAGTTGGTTTTTTGAAAATATCATTTGACAGGAAACAATGCAACAGTATGGTGTGATGTCTGCTATCCTCAACTGTACTTTTCACTCCTTCTTCACAAAATTGTAATAATTCATTCTCTGATTTGTTGAAGCAGGCCATAATTTAGGGAAAAGCCAACAAAACACTTCCCAGCCCAGAGTACAATTACACTGGTTTCTGCATAACCACCAGTTCTTATCATAACATGCTATGCATGCAATTTATGACAAGTGGATTAGGCATAGAATAGTTCTTTATTCTGTGGGGATTTGCCCTACAAATACATATAAGAACAGCACTTGTATTCAGTGCTAACAACCTCAACACAATACAAGACTTTAGATTTATTTGCAGTTTTAACAACACTGCTGTAACAATTCAGGATATCTCAGAAAAAAAGACCTCACTTCTCTTAATTCCTAGACAAACAGACATTTTTCATATGAAAAAGGGCTCTATAGACTAAACTTGATTTGAGAGGGAGACATAAACCAAATTCCTATGCTCTAGCATCTCAGCCCACTGGAGAAATTCATATTTGGTTCTAGACAGGAATTTTATTGCTAAAACTGTTGCAGTGTCAAGGATAACTTTTTCTTTAGTTATCTCTAATTTTATGAAGAAAACCACTGAAAATCTGTGTGCTGCTGGACTCAGCTTTGTTTTAGATCTTTCTTTTAATTAAGTATAACATCTTTCTTTGAGTTTCATGGTTTCATACCACCTTATTTTACCAAAAAATAAGATAGCAAAACAAAGAAAGATAGCAATGGAGAGGCAACAACCCAATGTCCCTTCAAAATTAACACCAGAAAATAGATTTGTGTTTAAAATACACAAATATAGTGCAGTATTAATACCAAATCCATAACTAATACTTTCATATTTCTTGATATGGGTTAACTTCTATTCTCATTCAGCTACTGTTTAGCATGCTTGGCATGAAAATGATAGCTTTAGAGTGCAAGCATACAACACAGACATAATGAACAAGTATTTTTTGATGGCTTACATTTGCTTTTTTATAAAAATAGATATTTTTTCCATAGAAGTTGCTTAGAATTGTATTAGTCCCTTTGCTGAGTGTTGCTTTTAACAAAAAGGATTTGATTTAAAACTGTCCCTCAAACTCTTCCTCCTTTTTCCTCACACAGACACACACATCATCACAAGGAAGATAGCCAAATTGCTTTTCTTATATGCTATAAAATCAGAAAGCAAATTTTCAATGTTTTTTTAGCTTTTTCCTCTCTGAAATAATTATATTTCCATAAAGATTCTGTGAAATGAACTTCTAAAACTGAAATTACATTTAGAAGATGAAACATGCTTTTAACATTCTGAATTTTCCCATTAAATTTCACTTACAGCAATAGCAAATCTCTGAATGTTTTCATCTTCACAATCATCAATCACTTTTTGTAATCTGTAGTTGTCATGTGATTCCCCATCAGTCACAATAACCATTACTTTTTGTACTCCTCTTCGTGCACCGTGAGCCTCAGTAAAAGCTTCTTCCCTAAAGGGACCATAAAGTGTTTTGGAGAAAGGCAATGTCAGCATTTAGCACATGCATCATATTTGCATAGCCAACCATAAACTACAAGATTTTATATTAACTAGGAAGCAGGAAATGGAGATTAATGCTAACCATGAACAAATACAAACAACTGCAATTGGAACTTACATGACAGTTCACAGCCAAAGTTTCACAAGCATTCATTCATCATCCACTCACTTGAGAGCAATAGCAGAAAATACAAATCTGGATAGTGAAAAATTCTTCCCCTCTACAAATAAACTTCTGGCACTTCAAAACAGCTTTTGGCGTCTTAAAAAAAGACTCAGCCAACACCCTACCTTTCCAAAAACCTATGCAGAAAACCCTCACCTAATTCCACCCTACAGCAGCACTTCAAGTGGTCAAACTATTTACTCAGCTACCAGCACACCTCTGCACAGCTATGTTAATTAACACTGTGTGTTGGGGACGTGGCAGAAATAGGTTGCAGGTACATGGAGGCAGATTGGGGCCCAATCTGGTTGCAGATGGGCAAACAGGCTCTGAGGTTTTGGGCAGCTGTTTGCCCAGACTCTGGACCTAACAAGGCAAGGCTGGATTAGGGCTTGGGAGGAGAAGGAAGGAAGCAGGGCTTCCTCTTTTCAGAAAAATACCACAGAATTCTACGACTGGCCACATGAGTGAAAGCTGAAATTTACCACTGAAAATGGCCAAGGGGGTATGACTGTGAGAACAGAGGAAGCTTTTGATGACAGTTTCTGTATATACAAGCCTGCTGTAGTTTGTGGTACACAGGGGCTTTCTGAACTAGATGTGGTTTCTGAAAACTTGGCAATTCTCAACTGGCTCTGCTTTCATGAACTTGTTTGGACTCCTCAAGCTTCTACTCATATCTCAGGAAAGCTTAATATATAAGAATTCAACTGTACACCAAAACAAAACTTTGGTCAGATAATCCAATTGTTCATTAGAAGGATGCTGCATATTTCATTAAATGGTTGTTTGTAAAGAGTGAATGCAATCTTTTGTAGAATAAAAGCAGGCTTTTGTGATGGAAGAAACAAACTCAGAAAAGAAAAAAGATACCAGGACAATGTTGTACAGTTAGGAATTTTCTGAGAGATTTATATTTACTGTCTGTTCTATGAAAGTCAGATTTCATTTTTCTCATAAAAGAAGCATTTCTAAATATTACTATTGCTACAACAGGTCTTTAATCTCCCAATGATTGAGAAACTTTAAAGACTTAGGATAGAAAATTTTTAGGCTTTCTGACAAGTGTGGGCCCAAACATTGTAACATTCAACTTCAGAATGAAACAAATTAACATTAAAAATTCTATTTTTTTTCCTCTGAAAAACTTGATTTTCTTCATCCCTCTACATACACAGTTCCTATCTGCTCTATGTGGACATCAGATATTGTCAGCCCTTTGCTTAGGCCTACAATCTTGCTCCATATCTATTATATTTTCCTAATTCCCTTTGACACTCAATTGCTTTAGGTGCTGGATATAGTGCTTATTCCTTATTGCTTATTACTTATTGCTTTAGGTGCTTATTCCCCTCCCTCACAAATGACACTTGCTTAGCTAAAATGAAGTTGGACATTGGCCACGCCATGTTTTTAACACATAAAATCAGAACCACCACCCTGCCCTGTTTGTTTCTGCCACGTGCAGGACAGCATCCTGTGTGCATACCTGGCTGTGTCTATTCCCAAGGCTGTCATGGTTTGCGTGCCGCCCCGCTGGCGTATTCTCAAGGCTGCAGCCATCACATCTTCTGTTGTTGAGTATGTATTTAGGTAAAATTCATGGACTACTGTCTGTCCATACTGAACAATTCCAACCTGAAACACAGAGTTCATGTTTGAAATCAACGGCCCTTAAAGAAAATATCCCTGCCTCTTGCAGTAGGGTAAATGTCTGTACTAACAGCCAGGAGAAGAACTGAACTCTTTGTGTTTCCCTCAGGATGAAACACCTATATGAGTTTGAGGAAGACTAGCTAGACGACAGTCTCATGAAACATTTTGAAGTTTCTAAATTGCTTTTATTTAAAACTGGAATAAAGCCAAAAGCTGTCTCCAGTCCTTGGTTTTCCTGGCTTGAGGCAATCTGGATGGGAGCTCTGCTCTCCTCTAGGCCAAGCAGACCAATGCCCAACCATCAGTCACAACTCCTCAAAAATGTTTTCCTTATGGCATACAAAGTCATGGCTCACTCACAACTCTCTTCATTCCACTCAAATATAATGTTTCTATATCCAATAGTTTATTTACTCTAAATTTAGCCTAGAAACAGGAAGACCCAATTATTCTTATCTTAATGAAGACAGCAGGGACATCCATGACATGCATGTTCTCCCAGCAGGAGGTAGGTCAAATTACCACCTGACAAGTACCAGAGGGTAAAACATGAAGGAAATGGTGGCTTTGGGATGGGGGAAGGTAATGTAAAGCCTGTAGATGACCTCAGCAGAACAAGTCTTTGTCTGGAAGATTAACACATGGGATTGTGCAATAACCACAAAATGTTTGAGGAAACCTGCCGCAAAACCAAGAATGGAATAAAAAGATGAGCTATATGCTTAAATATTAATTAATTTCTCCCATTCATCTCTGTCAGTTTTAATATTTTGGCAGGTTCCTGACAGCTTTTACTGGGAAGAAGCCACACAATGTTCCATTAGCATATTTCAATTTTACGTTACACATGGCAATTTATAGGTGTTATTTAGGATAATGCAGTATTGCATGGCATTTATATCTCACTCATCTATTATTAAAAGCACTCTAGCATTAAGTTATTGAAGATCAATAAGACCTCTGGGATGTTTCTGCCATCATTACTTTAGAAGTGGCATAGTATGTATTTTACAATTGCTTTATAGGGTTTTTTTTAAGGCATTTTCATAGCCTCTCAGATTCTGCAAAGCATTTGTTTGCTTGTAGCAGAAGGTTTAGAATTGGATAAATATTTCACAGTAAACATCAGTAACATGATCATTATAAAATGCTAGTTACAAATGATTATGGGACTATAATTATATTGGCATGTGATAGCAAAATCTATTCCACTGACTTTCCGTATCTTTTTGAAAACACAGTCAAATCTGTAAGAACTAATGTAGGCTCAAACTTTCTACAAGTTGCTGCCTTTGAGATATTTGTCTCTTGGAGGTATGCCCTCTTCCATTTGCAGCAGAGAGAATGCAGAGGCTGCAATGTTCCTGTGAGCAGAGGGCTATTAACCCTGCCCAGTGTTTACAGAACCAGCCAGGGCACACTCTGTCTCATCACTCAGAACACTCACGTGGCACTGAATAAACTACAACCTGAAGATCAAATTTTTAACCTGTTCCCTCCAATGCAACTCTTTTGTGACATGCATCTAAAGTGATACACCACATTATCTGAACAGGATATTGTTAGTCTTTTAAAGAGACAGCTGTGAAATGGTGATGAACAAGAGATTTGCGTCATGCTTGATTTTCTGGAGGAGGAGCAATGGCTTAAAAATTCCAGTGTCATGCACCAATTGTAGCCAGAGACCATAGTATGCTGGGAAGCTGATTGGTGTGGACTCATGGCTCCTTCTCTGTAGCTTTTGAGGTACCAATAACAAAATAATCTACTGACTACTGCCAGTGTGAAAAGCATCTGCCAGTCCTTCATGATTCTAGAGACCCATGTTGGTGTTGTCATTTTCCTAAAATAAGATTACAGGCTGACATTGAGTTGTATCATTTCCTGTTTGAAAGGAAACGTCCATGATCACAGCAAGTACACATTTTGAGCATTTCCTTCTCAGGAAGTGAATGGGAAGAACATCTGAGTCTGAAAACTGCACTGTGCAGCATAGCTTGTAAATCAGGAAGGAAGGGGGGCATGTGGTTATCTTATGGGATACAACTGCCATGTGCGACCCTTCCTTAGCACGAGCTTTGAAAACACTGATCCCCATCTTCTACATATTCCATGGTATCAAAGATGAACCATTCCTCATGGTATCAAAGATGAACCATTCCTCAATAAAAGGTAACAAAAAGCCTCTGAGAAAATGCTACTTGTTCCAGTCTCCTACAGGATCATAGGATGATCACCTTGCAAAATTAGAGTTATATTCTATTAGACACCAATGAAGGTTTGAACTTATGTAGCTTTTTCATCTTATGAAAAACTAAAAGTGACACATCTACATGATGCATATGTGCCTTTATGGGACTTCAGCAAGCCCCTAAGATTGATGCTTACAGGCATCATATGTTTTGATTTGCTTGTTTAATTTACATTTGAAAAATGCAATAGTACTACACAGAAGGACATAATTCTACTCTAATCCAGAGAACCTATTATTTTTCCCAGCATTACTGACCATAATCTATTGAACATTCCTGTAATTCTTAAGTTTATGTTCCCTTCCCTAGCATTCCATGGCTTTTACATTACACAAGGGAATAATTCTTTAATTGTCCCCAGTTCCTGTGAAAAGTGCTGCACAAGAGAACAGGCAAGGGATGGACTGTTCTACTTTGGAACAAAGCAGTTCTCAGGGCTATGATTTACTGTTGTCCTATAAATGAATACAGACCCTTATTTGGAAAGCACATTCTGGCTTTCCCAATAAATTATTAAGCTAATCAATTTGGCAAAAACCAACAACTAAAAATAACAAAATGAAAGGAAAACCAGTGGTACATGAAATCATATGTCAGAGTTTTCAGCACTGGGATGTGGAGAGAAATCAGGAATATTTTTGGATGTACTGATACTTAAGGTAAGAGAAAAGCAGAGATGTCTTGGGAAGCATTAATGGATAATATCTTTTTTCATAAGGAGATCTTTTTAAAGGTATCTGATCAACAAAAATAAATTAATTCTCCCACATTTTGTTTACTTCAAGACACAAGTTACTTGTAAACTCTCGTAAGACCTTTCTTCATCCTTAAGCTTTGTAATATCTCTTAAATACACTTCTGTTCTTCTGAAGACAAAACTAATCATAAGATATGACTTATTAGTGTACTGATACAGTCCCTTTGGAGACACAGTAGGGCACAGGCCAAAGATCCATAACTGCCTATGCTATATAACAATGTTAAAATAGAAACGGTCTAAAGTTTTGAAGGCCTTTCCATCACAGCTTTAAAGCTTGAAGTGAACTTATTCAAGTATTCTGCTTTCTTTCTTGAGAGAAATCCACAGAAAGTTACTCATATGTAAATGGTTAAAAAACCTACCCCTCCATAGTAAAAAGATAATTATCTCCAAAAGAGTTAAAAATGTAGCAAAAAAAGGCCAAGAGAAATATCTTGATTTTGTTCCTACTTCTACTATTTCTACATAATTCCTCCTTTTTCCACTTTTTTATCATCACTTTCCATTTACTTTTTTTTATCCCAAAACTCAAGATATGCATTTTAATCATCAGAATGGAGCTGTAGATTATCTGGAGAAGAGAAAGAGGAAGGGAAGGAAAAAAATACCATAAACTTTGACTTTCTGCATCTGAAAATTCAGACTTTAATTTTTAAATCTGCCAAACATGGGACACTGAGCAATTTCTCTCAACTTGCTACAAGTCTAATGACCATTGTTCATTAAGGAGGTACGTGGGGAAAAAAAAAATCTCAAAAGCCTCTAATCAAAACACAGTTTTGAACAAGTCACACCCAATCTGCTAAGGAGGTATTCTGTAATCACCTCATTCCTTTCCTGTGCAAAACAATCTTAAGTCAGTGAAAGTCCACTGATTTCTACATACAAAGTAATAAAAAATTAAATTGGAAAAATCAATTTAAACAGATAAAAAGCAAAGTATTGTTCCTATGCTTGTCTTCTGGGCTCCCAGAGGAGAGGGAATAAATAAGTCTGCTCTGTTGTTTCTCCTGTTCCCTATTGTATAGTTATTTAAACATTTTTTCTGAGAAAGCAGACAGAGTGGGTGGGGGACAGAGTATAAACTCATTACTACCTTCAGATGCAGCAGGGTCCCTAAGCAGGGGGCTCAGAGGAGAGGAGAGAGATGAGATGTGTTCTGGGGAAGGAGGAAAATAAGAGGGACTGAGAAAATTCCACTGAGCTTTTGTCGTCCATTTCCAGTTTTTCAGCTCCTCTCCTCCTTATCCCATTCTTATCTCCCTCTCAAATGTTTCTGCTCTGTAGCAGCAAGATGCCAAAGCTGACGTCCTCAAGTGAATGTGTGTACGTGTGAGAAGAGGGGTAGCTATGCCAAGCTGTGGGCACAAGGGATTTTGTAGGTGGAGATGGGAGGCTGCTGGAGTGCAGGCCAGAGAGGGACCTATTGTGCACCAGCTGAGCCACACAGATGAGGCAGTATTCCAAAACTGAACATAACAGAGGTGTGGCATTGTAAAAATTTAGGAGTTGCTGGGTAAGGAAGAGGAGTGAGGGTGCAGTGGAGTTGATAGCCCTGCTTACCACTCCCATGAAGACCTTAGGGCAGGGGACAGTGATGATTTCCATGCAGCCAGTGCCCCATACAGGGAAGTTCAGATTTAAGTATTTCAAAATGATACATGTTTGAGTAATCATCTGTTTAAGGGAACAGAAAGAATTTTTTCCTTTCTGCTGAATTTGACAAAGTGTTTTTCCTTCTTCCTCACAATATCTGAAGAAGAGTGTGTTTAAAATAACAGGATATGATTGCAACATTGAGAGTTTATAAGTTATTTTATCAGCCAGTGTTCAGTATAGACAACAGAGAACCCGGGTGGTAACTTGAAAACCTCAATTAACATGGAAAATTATGCATAACTCTCTGCAGACAGAGATATCCTTTACATCTTCTCACAGTCTCCTTTGTGAAAGCAGGACCTCAATGTTAGGAGCTAACTCAAAGTTGCAAAACTGCCTGTAGCATATAATTTATTACAGGAGGCCCTGGAAAACCCTTGATTTTGGGAGGCAGAAAATAGAGAAAGGAAGAAACAGTTTCTTCTGTTGCTGTCAATAAAGCTTTTTGTGTTAATATGCATCCCAGACTCAACTGTTTTCCCCCTCCCAGATTTCTTTTAGAACTGATATTTACATAATCTGTTAAGCAGAGTGTGGGACATACGCCAGATCCTCAGGGGGTAATTGGTCATAGCTCCATTAATTCTGATGGAACCGCATTGATTTATAGCAGCTGGGAATTTGGCCCTCTCCACTTATTATATAAATGCAGCTTCTGCCATTAATAACATGCAGCTAAACAGCCACTCGTTAATTAGGATCTCAAGGTTTAAAAGCTGCATGCCCAATGTTTCACAGTACTAAGAACGCTGCTCCAAAAATCTTACAATCAAAAGCTGTCCAAACCACGCATGTGTGCTTCAGAAGAGCAGAAATGACCTTTGTGCAATGAAGTACAAAGGAAGACAAGAGGGGGCTGTGGAGAGGAAGGAAGTGGGAAAGGACAGTGTTCAAGCAGCCTCACTTAATGCACTTAACTTTTGTCTCTAGGTTAGAAAGTTGGTTTCTCCAGACTGCCTGAGCACTCTGGGGGGAGGGATAGTCTTTCTGACATTGCTGCTTGATGGCTGAGTACTGACTTAGTTGTGGTTTCAGCTATTTTGCTTTAGTATCCTGGTGGTCTAAGTTCTTGGAATTGAAGAGGTCCATAGATGACACTATTATACCATTTCCTGTAAATTGTTTTTTCTTCTCAAATTAACCATAAAATATCTACCATATTACCTGTGTTTGCTGAGGACCTATATCCATGTTTCTCAGGAGGCTGTTCAGAAAGCCTGTGACACTCTCCCATGGATAAATGCTGTTGGACCCATCAAGGACTATGACAATGTCCAACTGGGTTTTACACTCTGCAATACAAATTGCCACATAAGAATTGACAGTAACAAGGATCAGACTTATCTCACAGCTCCAGCTGTGACTTCTGTCATTAGTAACAAATGTATATCGTTCTGCAGTGTGGCTGAACTGACATGTTTGATGACAACTATCATTCTGCAACTTCTGCATTGTATTTCACATGGCTTGTGTTCCCTCTGTAAGGAAGGAGTTTTCTTGGAAGCAAAAATTTAAGAAAGGAAGATCACATAACTGGAGCATTTACCAGTGACCCCCTACTTTAGTCAATGTCAATCTATTCCTCTACAATTTTTTCAAAGGATCAGGTCTTTAAGATTTTTATGTATATTACTAAATTGGGTTTGTATTAGGTCTCAGTATGCCGTCATTATTTAAAAGGAGTCTTTTGGCCATAAGTTAAAAACATAAGCAACTATTTTTAGCAATTGTGTTTGGATGTTACATAGCAGTGCAATGATTGTTTATACTGAGACAAATTCCAAAAGTGGGAAGAATTTAGGTTATATACAGACAATGAAAACATTTACTTAACTTGGTAATGCTGGTAGCTAAGTTAAGCAGTTCATTTTTTTCAGTATGCCTATGTGTATACATTTGTCTTGTTTGGCACTCTTTATTTTTGGACACACGGGAAAATTCCTGCAGCATGCATACCTTGCACAGACGGAGCAATGGCCCCAACGGTTTCAAAAGTGGAGCTGACATTAGAACAAACTCCAGTTGTGTAATGCAAACGTCCACATTTGTAAGCATAAAGTGGTCCACATGCCTTTAAAAAAATGAAAAAGGGTGAAATGTTTTTGTTATGATATCCGAGAAAAAAACAGACTTTTAAAATTAGCAAAAAGTCCTTTCTTACCAGAAACCCTCCTTTTGGGTTAGTCACTAAGGTTGTTCCAAGAGTCATGTTTTCTTTTACTTCCACGACATTAGGAACTGAAGTAGAAGCTATAAATAGATTAAAATGTTAAGTATTTGGGAACATGAAAACAAAATGCTAAATTATATATCCCCTAGTAAGGAGCTTCCAGCTTCTAAAATAAAACCCAGACTGACACTGGTTTCATCAAATATTTTAGCACCCTTCCCCCTCCTTCTTCAACTGCAACAATCAAGAAAAATTTCTGAGACTGGCTTTTATCCCAGAAAATTTGTCTGGGTTGCTGTCTCAAATAGTTTTCTTGAACCGCAAGAAAAGGAAAAAAAGTAAAAATAACAGCACAATGAAAACAAGATACTACTATGCACAGAGTTTTGTTAAATAGGAAAAAAAAATTAATTTTTTACCGTGTGTCGCTATGAGTAAATAGCTTTTCAACTTGTTACTATTATGTAACTATTTGTTACTATTATGTTGCGTTACTGACAGTTAAATTTTCAAGGAACACAAGGAGATGAAAAGTATCGCAACATGTATATTTAGTGAAGTTCATATTAGACAGGAATTTTCTTCCAGTCTACATCAGGTATCTCTTGCCTTGACCATGAAAATTATTAATATTCACCTTTGGCATATTAAGATACATCAGACTAGTTACATCTTCATCAAAAGCTTACTGATGACATTATGAAGGTTCTTGGCTTCAGAGAGCTTTGGAAAGGGTAATCCATGAAATTATGATCCAAGACCTTCCTGGCTCAATGGCCAGGCCTGCCAACCACAGTCAATTAATGTCAGTCATAATAAAGTTTTGGTAATACAACCACATACCCATTCTAAAAGTATGAGCATGTTTTCCACAGTATAGTGAGAAGCCTTAAAATAGAATTATTTTTAATGCTACAAACACAACTTCCTTCACATTTAGCTCTGGAGCCCCAAGCGAATTTTCACTAGGAAGGCTGTGACACAGCTTTATTTCCTTTCATACCTGGTAAGTTCAGTTTTGTGCAGGGTGATGGGCTGTGCCTTCCTACAGGGCATTTGTAGACATCGCCTGTTCTTTTCTCAGGTTGGCCAACCAGTGGTGAACCAATAAGTACCCTGCAAATTAAATAAGTTACCTGAAATGTCTTCTTTCAAACAAGGCACAAAAGTGAGCAAATAAAACTTACAGAGAGAGGACAGCTGCAGCAAGCTCTACACTAGCAGTATAGGATGGAGAAAAAGAAAAGTATCTATTATACCAGTCCAGATGCAAGAGAAATAAAAAGGACATGAAAAGGAAATGTGCCTATAAACCAAATTACAGCATAGAATAACACTTTTAAAAATTCCAGAGAAAATAAAAGCAATATAGGTGGCTAGACAACAAGTCTTAGAAGTAATACAGAAGGAAAGATATGCTTTATTTATGTCCTAGATCTTCACAAGATCTTTGATGAAAACCTATTTTCCATGCTCAGAGACCAAATGCCAAAGGAGAGTCTCACAAGCACACAGAGGAAGAATTTAGTCTTATGTAATGTGGAGCAGCATTGTAAAAGAGATGTTCTTCCCTATCATTAATAAAGCAAAGGGTTATTAAAAGAAATTTCAAAACTGTAAAATGCAGAGAAGCTGAAGGCGCCTGACATCCCCTGGCAGACGATCAATGGTCATCAAGTTCATGCCCGTGTGAGTTCCTTTCTCAGAAGGAAAGAGCCCCATGAAGAGTGTTACGTGGTCTGAAAGGCTATTTCATTTTGTCTTTTGGCATGAGGGATTACACAAATTATTGAGAAAAAGCTGCAGTCAGGTTCAGACTGTTTGCTGCTGGAAAGCTCTATCGGTTCCCTACAGGTTGCAGCAGAAAAATCCTCAAGGCTGTTTTATTTTCTGCTCTAAATACTGATATGCTGAAAGCTTGACAATTTACAGGAGCTCTGAATTTCAATTTCAGAGATGTCCAGATCTAGCACACTACTTTATATCGCTGTGTGGCTACTGGTAGATTCCATATTTCCAGCTCATATTATTGTTTGCTTTTGAAAGGTTTCAGGACTGCTTACAACAATACAGCTTACTTAGCAAAATCCCAGCTCCTCAAATGGATTCCATTTCCTGAAGGTCTAAATTAGCTCACAGAGGTCATTATTCTTATTCTCTCATGACCCTCATACAAAAGTGTATTTAAACATCCTACAATTGCAGCAGTCAAAAACTAGCACATTCAAAAGCAGGCTCTGTGGTTTTATTTCTCTGAGCCCTGTGTTGCAGTGGTGATCAGACTTTCAGAGTCTGGCAGACCCAGCACTTGCAGTGGTGATTGCTCACCACAGAACAGTCTGGCCTGTCTGTCACACAGCCTCATGCTGCCTGTCATTCCTGCATGCCTTCAGGAGTCCCTGCATTTACCAAGAATTGTCAAAAAAGCTCTGGGAAAACCAGAGCCAGCTGCAAAGAATAGAGAAGAGATAGAGATCTCTTCCCCAAACCTTTTACCATGTAATTGTTATTTCAGTCCTCCTGCCCAGTCGTCAGCCTCTGGGGTTAACAAGGGAAAAGCATAGGCAGGTGTTTATCCAATGACCAAGAAGCAATGATATGAGTGAGCATGCCAAAATACAGCTTCTACTTAGAACAACAGGAAGGAAAAGAGAGGTTAAGATAAAGGCTCCAGGTCCCCAGTGCAAATATATTACCAGTTGCAAGACATAGCCCTCCAAAAGGGAAGGCAGAGGGAATACTGTACTAATTAATATTTTGACAGGTAAATCTTACAACCAACAGAGTTAAAAAATTCAGTTTAGACAACCCCTGACAGAAAACTTCAGAAAAAAAAAACTTAATGCAGAAGTAATTTCATTTTAAATATATTAACAGAAGGAAAAGGTAAAGATTTCATTTGGTGAATGGAAAAAACAGAGCTCAGGCAAAATGCAGTACTTTCTCAGTTCCATAAATGAGGGAATCTACCCATTTTGTGAAGTAATTTATGTCTCTGAGGAGATAATTTGAGGTATACATGTGGATCTTTTTGTCTCCCAATCTTTCCAGATTTCCTAAGGGCTCTGCATAAGTTTAAGAAATATGTCTGACAGAATCTGACCCTAACTTGAAAATAAAAGTACAGCACCTGAGTCACTGAATACCTGATAATTTCGAGTGTTCGGGTAAAAAAAAAAAAAAAAGAAAAGAAAAAGAGCTTACCATTTCCCTTCCTCATTTTCATACTGTTGGACTGTGTACCCAAACATGTCTTCCAGAGGCCCACTGAAGGTCAGTGCATTTTTCACATCAACATTTGAAGTGCAAACAAGGTGAAAGAAAGCTTTAAAAACAAAGTATTTAAAAAAATTAGTATATAGCAGTACAAATAAACCCAAATACTTCTAAGAAACCAACGTTCAATTATGACTTAATGAAAGGTACAAGACGTTGAAAGTGGCATTTGGGGCACACGTATCTCAGCTTGTAAGAGATTTAAAACATATTTCTTCATACATAGGTACATAACTAAATTCAGAGTTGTTAGCAACTGGACTTCTGTACTCCAAACATATCTTTCAAACTCCCATCACTCATTTTAAGATCAATTCCAACTGCAGGAAGTAAAACATTACCACCTTTAAGAATAAATAACTTTTTAGTTATTGATTTAGTTTAGTTTAGTTATTCTTTTAGCTCCATTCATTTCTAAAGCAAGAATTTAATAGAAAATGTTCCCTCATTCAAGTAATTAGTTCTAAAGGTTACTTAAATTGAGAAATAACTAATTTTTAACAGAAAATTTTTGAAGAAAAACCACATAGGAAAAGAATGTGGAAAAATTTTCAGATGTATTTAATTTTAATCTATATTAGAGAAAAAGAAGTATATGGTTTTCTCTTAATTCCTGTAAACCATTTATATTTGGAAAAGAATAAAATTAATTTTCTATGCAATCTTTTGCTGGTCTCCATAGTACCTATACGTGATTACTTGCAGAACTCTGATAATCGTGCATTTAGGAAAAGTTGCTATACAGTGGTGATCTTGGACTATGAAGAGATCAATCAAAAGAGTGAATGTTTCTTCTGACTTATTTCCCATACCCAAAGGTTCAGTGATCAACACCAAGGAATATACTGCAAAAGTTTGACTGCATAGCAAGTTTCAGAAAAATTTGAGATATAGGGTAAAAATCCAGCTTGAAGTGATACCTATAATTGCAAGGCCCATTAAGAAGCAAAACCCACTATTTGTATATAAAAATAAGGCCATTTATCTCTTCTGTATTCACTATTTCTTATAGTGCTCTCTTCCATCTTTGTCCTGTAAATCAGTTGTAAAAGTAACTACTGACTCTGCTGCTGCAGAGCTGTATATTTAATTCACAAGAATCAAAAATTAGGTGAATTTGTAATACATTAAAATTGCTTAAAACCACAAATATACACAAATTTCATTTAACTTTCAAGAAGCATTTCATGAGCATTTGCTGATACTTAACAGCTACATAAAAACACTCAAATACCCAATACTTGCTGCAAGTTAAAACATCTAAATAATCTCCAGTTGCTAAACCACATCTGTGTTATTCACTATTGAGCTGACAAAATTCTCATGGAAGGCTTGTTACTATAATTAAGCTCCCAAGTGGTCAATGCTAATCTGTCTCTCTCAGCATCTTATTTCCTGCTTAATGCAGTAAAATTATCACAGAAGACCATTTGTCATTTAGTAAGTATTTCCAGTTTCACTGGACAGCAAAAAAAGGAAAAGTTTAATTTGTGGTATTTTAGTTTTTCTTCCTCCAGTCAGGGTCAGGAAATATAAAGAAGTGAAAAAAAACTAAAACAGAGATTAGTTCTTCAGAAAATATTCACTGCAAATGATAAGAAAAAATTAATCATTGACAGCCTGATAGGAAATAATTAATTGGAAAATAATTTTGTTTCCCTTAAACATTTACGTTTAAAGAAATTCTGCTGTGCCTGTTCACATGCAATAGGCACTTTCCTTCCCTATTCTCAATCATTCCAGTATAATTAAAATGAACAAACCAAATTTTTAGGAATTCAATCAAGTTATCATTAATTCAAGTCTTCTTTTGTTAAGTTTCAGTAAAAACTGAAATTTACTACCAAAAGAGTAATACCAATTCCTATTATTACTTTTCAAACCATATAAGGGATTGCAACTGTGTCATTTACACTCACAATCTACCTCCTAGACAATGAAACAGTACTAATGAGTCACCTGCTAAAGCAACTACGTTCATTATTTAGTTCAAGAAGAAATGTAGAAGCAAAATATACCCATGTCAGCTTCTCTCTTAATGATCTCCAGAGGTCCGTTCACTTTAAGAAGGACAGAACACCCTTCTTGAGGTCTTTAGAGGTATGCTCTTCCCCTTTCTCACCTTATGATGGTGTTCAACACATATCATGATATGAAATAACAAAGGCCACAAATTCCAGGCCTTTAGAACTTGATGTCTCCTGAAGCAGCCAAAGGTCACATGGGCACCCTGTACTCTGTTCACTTCACCATGATATCCTCCACCATCATTTTATCATCTGCTGATAGATGAGGAGTTTCATCACAGTGATGTAGTATTGACAACTATGGATTTTTACTCTGTAGTCATTACAGGAATTTTTGGTCTTGAAGTTTCTTGAATTGGTTATGTAACATTGACAAATCTCTTAATTTTAATGCATGTGTTTCTAATCCTCATAACAGCTGAAAATACGAAATGCTAGTAAGTAGACGAGTAAAAAATGCCAGCTATTTACTACCAACCATCCTAATCTTCATGCTTATGAGTAAGGTCAAATTAGAATCAACAATAATAAAGCTTTGTTTTAAAAAAATAAAGCTAGATGAACCAAAGGAAGCTAGATGGGCCAGACTGGTCAGAAATAAAACTGAGGTGGTGGCTCCACACAGCAGAACAAACCTGTAGACCTTGTTGGCAGCCTTGTTTAGCCTTGGAGGCTAAATGTAATGAGCTTAATGGGAATCTGAATAACTCAATGGAAGACAAAACCACTCCAGCTTACAACCCACACAGGATGCACATCTGGTTCAGGAAATCCCTTTAGCTGGAGATACTTGGAAACTGGAAGAGGGACATAACATATGACTGCGTGGTTACTTTTTGTCTGTAGCTATCTGCTTACATGTACTCCTGCGGACATGATACTGGACAAAACATGATCTTGATGGCTGTGCTCTTACTCTCTCATCTTTGCCTTCTATCTTAGCCAGAAACCAGATGCTTTGAAGTTTGACTTCACTCACAAACTGTTTGGCATATTTTAATATGCAAATGTACTGCATGGCCTTCTTTGTGCTCTATGTGCTTTGAAACATTACAAGCATAATGTTTTTGCATTAAAGTAAGGGTCATGATAAACAGTGTAAAATTAACTTACAAATAATTAATGTATTTAAAGGTAGCTTGCTGTATTTTCCACAGATCCTGCAAAAGAAATCTTACAAGCCAAAGAGATGTTCAAATCTGCAGATGGTAAATGGAGAAGTGGAGTTTATGATGACCTACATTACACATCTAGCTAACAATAATCTACTGATTTATGGCAACTTGGCTTTCATGCTTTACTTGATTTTTTAGTAGAGAAAACACTGAACAGAGTAGCTAATGATTCAGAACACATAAAAACATTACTGACTGTGACTGTGAAAATTATATTATTAATAATATCTAGCTTGAACTCTTTCAAACTTCCAGTTTCTGTCTAAGATGGCATGCATTCTTTACTGTTTCTAGCTAACTTGTGTATGTATTAAGAAGAGTATTGGCAGAAGCACTGGAAAAAGGAGAACTACAGGGAAGTTGGAGAGGATTCTCATCAGAACTGTGGGAATTAAGGCGTAAAAAAAATTCATAAGGTACATAATATTTGACCTAATCACAAATAATGTAGGTATATTAAGATTTTGAACTATTTCAAGTTGTTATCAGAATGACTGGGAACAGACCAAAATTGACTGACACAGTTCAGAAATGCAAAGTATAAAAGCTTTTCAAAGGTTAAGACTGAAGTCCCAGTTTCATCTTCATGTTCTGCAAGAAATGAGGCACTGCAGGAAAACCTGGGACAATGTCCCTCTCACCACTGACTTACACTGAGCGGAACATGAGCTGATACGTGTGCCATTCTTTGCTTAGCACAGCTTGTACCTATACATGAAAAGTTAACACTCAGTCACCAAGACGACAACACAAATATTATTTCTATTACAAACCTGGAGTAGTAGCTCATACTTGTCCAGTAGCCACTAATAAATTCTTTTCTGTTTTATTTAATGAGTTCTTTTAACTAAACGTTTGTGCTGTCTGGATAGTTACTCTGCCTCCAAACCATGCAAAACCAGATTTTTCTGGGGCTTGTTCACAAGCATATTGCCTGGCTGGCCACTCTAACCTTACAAACACAGAATTGGCACCCTTATTTTCCTAAAAAGATGGATATAAACATAAGCAAAACTGTAGAACAAAGCCTAACACCTGGTTCTTTACTGATGAAAAATAGATCACCACAAATCACCCCCAATAAATGGCACCATGAAGACCATTTATTGACAAGAGAACTTAGACAAGAGAAGAGAATAAATTGAATTAGGATGTTTTAACTGTATGGTTTGTAGCAAATAACAACTGCATCCTCTATAAATAGAGACAACACCAAGAAATACAAATGTTTTCTTTCAAAAACAGGAAAGGATGAATTTACACTTAGCATTGGACAAGGCTAACACATTGGCTGTGCACTACTTCTCCCTGCCAGCATGTGGTTAAAAAGTTTTTTTTTTGCTTCACTTCACACTTACTGCTATAGCACTTGTTTTTATTCTTTCATCTGCATTTTGCAGGAGACTGAAACAAAGCAGCTCTAGGTGCACCAAGGAGCACACTAAAATAAGTATAAATGTTTTTCATAAGCATGCTCACTTGGAAAACATTGGGAAATTATTAAAAAAAAAAATTAAGAAAACAAGACTTTCTCCATCTTGGAATATAAGAGAGAATGCAGAAATTTAAGCTGAAGAATAAAATAAGATTAAAGTGTTTTATGGAGTTCTCATATAGTTAGATATCTTGGAAAATAAATGAAAAGAAAAATTGCCTTAATGCTTGTTCAGCATGTACTACAATCAGTGGTGTTGTAAAGATATTTTAAGAACTTGCAAATAGAACAAGTGCACAATACAGCAACAGGGAAGTGTGCATGTGATCACAGTGTACTGAAAGCTAGGTGTTATTAGGAAAGATGTCCTAATTGTAAGACAGTAACTGACTGTCTTCAAAAATGTTTTACA